GGCTGTGGTCGAGGTTGGAAGCAGCCACTGGACGGGCCACGACCAGCCACACCCTCGCCAGATCCAGATCTCGATCGAAGCACATTGACGGATATGGCAATCGTCGTGGCAACATCACCTGCGATGGTATCCATCCTCCGAGCCTCGTCTTTCCTCTTTCCGTCACGCTGCGGTCAGCTGTCTGGCGCAGGGACCTTTTCTCTTGCCATCACATACAACTTATGTGAACGATGTTCATTCAGGTGCCGGCTCACCTTCGCTCCATCTTAGTGTCTCTAGCATTCCTTTACCATGTCGTTCTTTGCATCACCTTCATAAGCCTGTCCCCCTCGCTCGCTGCGGCAACTGGTTCGGATCATGCTTTCCCACCGAATGTGATCACAGTAATATCGCCTTCTCCAAACACGTATAATATCTACCTCTGCATTCCAATTGTACGAATTTGCTAACCCACTTTGTTAGGAACGTGGAAGCCGGAACCACCCTGGATATCGCCCTTCGGGTATGCATATCACGGCCGAGGGTCTCACCTGTTTTTAACTTTCTCGCAGGCACATCATCGGAGCGGAGAGGATTCGATATCTCTTGAAACTTTGGGGATGAAGATTGAGCTGTCAAATGGCTCGGTACAGGTTCCGATATTGGCCCGTTCTCGCTCGGACCACCTTGCACAGGAGTGGGATAACAATGGCGTGACTATACGCTACAAGTGGCCCATCCCTTCATGCCTGCATAGCGGGGAGTATCATGTATGCTGTTTCGAATTCGTCTTGAAAATCCCGTCCCTGGCTGATTTGTGGGTAAGGTCACGACTCACACTTCGGCCGATCATGGTCTTGGAGTGATTCCTGTGACAATACAAAATGATTTACCCTCTCACGCATGCAAGACATATCCAGGTGTTGATATGGACCGTTCATTCCACGCTCAACCACCAGTGAAACGGGCTACAAGCCTCCAACCGAACACGACGCAACAAACTACGTTGTCGGCTACAGATGCAGCCGAAATCACAGTGACAGCCGTGTCGTCAGAGCTGACCGTTGTACCATCTGGCCTCCCCGCAACGATCGTAATAGAACCTCCCTCGTCAGAGACGTCCGCCCTCTCGCCTTCGCGGGTCTCCGGCTTTAGCACGGTCTACAAGACGTTCACAACGACGGCCACTGTCAATGGATCCGAAATGCCCATCACCGTCACCGCTACCACAACCGCGCCAGAGTCAATCACCATCGTGCTGACATCCTTAGAGACCATAGTAAGCACGACCACTGCGTCTGCATCAACTCTCGAATTCACATCCACGTGAGTCTTATCCACATCTAAATTGCACTATCGTAATCAGAAAGGGACTGACACTCATGTTCGTGGTATTAAGCAAGACGGTGTTATCAACGACAATGGTCGTCATGACGCAGGAGGTCAATGGGAATTTTCTCCCTGTGACTGCGTTTGCGTCCCCGGTCCTGACCATCCCGTCATCGTCTCTTGTGATACTGTGTATTTCCATAACGCTGTCTATGTTTCGTTGCCTAGGTTTATTGTGATTGCGGACCTGCAGTGGTTGGCTACATCATATCGGACGGGATGCGCGCCCGTTGTACATATCTACCCGGCTGATATGATGTTCCATGCTACTATATAAAATGGATGACATCAGCTGTTGCGCAACTGTAAAATGCATTAAGGGCCCAGAAAAAAAATTCTTCCTGTTGTATTATAGCAATAAAGATAAATCAAGAAGTACTGTGTCCGGCAGGTGACAGCTGAGCATGAAAGGGGTTAGGTACACACACTGATCAAGCAGATTGAGCTTCGAGCAACTTTAGGTGGCTCATGTCACAAGCACCCCTTTCCCAATCTTTGACTAATCGGTACTTTCGTCGCGCCGTGCACCCTAGCACGTCACATTGCGGCTGTGGACGTAGGTGTCTTTGATCGGCCGCCATATGCACAGCGGCTGCGTTCTGTGCTTCAAGCGATTGCAGGACCCCTACAGGGACCGAAAATGAAAGCGCCATTTTCTTCTCTCCACCGTTCTGATCATCGTCCGCGCTTCGAGAGGTAGATTTCCACCTGTACGTTGTAGGTATCACGGATACCACAACGGCCTGCCCATCTTCACCCTCCACGTCGGCACCATTGGCGGTCGAAGCAGCGTGGCTAGGCCGATCTTCCGCTGTGGAAAGCGCATTTCGCCTACCCTTTGCACGGGACTGCTTCTTCAGCAGTCGATTTATTGTTTCGGTCTGCGCCACGCGAGTCAGTCCGATTCGTGGTGCAGAGATAAAATCAGGCACCTTCTCATCCTCGAGTTTCTTCTCAGACAAATTCTTCCGCTTGCGCGCCGTCTCTTCTCGCTTAAGGGCGATCTCGTCCTGCGTCAGCGGCTTTTTCCTGCGAGAATTCGGCTGTTCTCCTGCGCCACACACAGCATCGTAGACCGTCATGGGCCAAGAGCAATGCAGATAATGTCAGGACAGTGGAACCGCTGTCAAAGAGAACGGCCAAACCTAAGGAGACATGGGAAGAGTCAACGACATTGGCGAGGACTGCCTGTCGTGCGGTCAATGCCTTGCCAGCGGTGCCCGTGGTAGCCACGGAAGTAGAGCGCGTAGATTGAGCCCCATCCGCGTCGTCGTCATCGTCATCCTCGGGCTCGTCTTCGTCTTCGGACTCGACGTCATAGTCTACGAAAGTTCCGATTCAGTCGACCTATGGTTATTTCAATCTCAAGCAATGTCTCTGACCTCGCGACGTTCCCCGACGACTGGAAGATGCCCCAGTCTCATCTGGGGTGGACCTTTCCGTCTGCGCGGCGGTAGAGCCGCCATGTGCCGGGAGCTTCAACTTGATTTTCAGCCGCGGCTGCTGCACAGGCTTCATCTCCTGCTCCTCCGGAGCTGGCGAAGCGTCAAGCTGAGAGGTATCCTGCGGGGCAGTGCAGTGTTTCTGTCTGCAAGTCAAGTGACAGGCGTAGGAAAGCGCTCACATCCGGTAGCTCTTCTTCCTCTATCTCCACATCCCTGTCGTCGGCCGCCTCATCCAGGCTGACCTCCAGATCCTCGTCCTGTTGGGGATCCTCCTCGTCCACATCCATGTCGTCGTGAATTTGGTCCACATCTGAGCGCAATATGCGTAAGCGTCTTTTAGCAGTAGAGCGGCCCATGGTCTGAACAGTAGACAGTAAGAGTAGGTGAAGATGTGATGCTCACCGCTTGCTGCGTCCGATTCTGGTCCCTCCGATATTCTTCCCACCATCGTTTTGGAGCGGTCTCGTAACTTATTTGTGTTGCCCAATGGCGCGTCCCAAGTCTCGTAGCGCCTAACCACAGGGAGCGCCCATGGTTTCCCCGCGTGACGTCACGTCGTGACGTCACGCGTAGACTCGGCTCGCGTCCCAGCGCATACCTTCTTCCTCCATTGTATATCTGCTACGGGAATGTCGCTATCTATGAAAGTCCCCCAACAGACTCTCAGTATCACTTTGATCGCCTTCAGTACGTTTTTCATATTATCCCATGGGAGTTACACCATCTCTATAGACATCGAACATGCACATTTCGGCCCGGGTTCTATGTGAAGCAATCGCGTCAAAGAAAGCTGGCCTGCGCGAAATGTCATCTCTCATGTTATGGTGTTGTGCCGGTCTAATGCATACACTAAGCGCAAGGAATACCTTTCTTACAGCTAATTACAGTGTCGACTGTAACGATATGAAACGGAATATCTGCACCCTTGGTGACCGAAATTCAAGATAACGCGTATCTGGATGGGCACCCCTCGGCCGAGAGAGATCAGCGAAATCAACTGTAATCCCTAGTGCTAGTGTTGTAAGTCTTCCTACTACCCTCTCGTATGCGATTCCCTCACTGGTGAATGTGCGGTACACTCATCAATGATGCAAACAATAGGAACTACTGCGCTGCGTACATATGCTTTGAGAAAGTGCACATCGGAAAAAAAACCTGCGGAATGATGATGAAACTTGTTCGAACCGGTTCCCCCTGGTGGATCGCAGTCGCGACCTGCAGTAGTAAGTCGTAACACAAGGTACTTACTGTTGATGGCCACACGTCCGGCCCAAAGCTCGAGACCGATCTGCATCATAATTTGTATCATACCTCTTGTGGATCGTAACATGATTTTTGCAGCATCTCGTGCGACCCTACAGGGTGTAACTAGATGACTTGTCCTACATTTTCCATTTGAAGCATGACGTTGTCGCGATCACGGGATGCGCCCGATACGATGGCGTTGGTATTGACAATGGCTCAGGGCCTCAGGCTGCACTTAAGCGAAACGCGGTACCGCGCACGATTCGCTCCATTCGGTTACCGCCTGCACACTATAAAAGGTTAAAAATCCTCCTTACTTAGCTTAATCTCTTACTTCTACCTCCCGACACAGATTATTTTCCCGCCCCCGCCGCTTTCCAATTAACTGACTGGATTCCATGCAACCCAAGCGCAAGTCTGACGTCCTCGAAGCCGACGCGCCCGCCAGCGCGGTGCCCCTGAAAGAGAACGCCGTCGCGAAGAAAGCGCGCGTGTCCGACGCACCGGAGGGATCCAGTTCGAAGGGACAGAAGGCTAAGGAGCCCGCCCAGACTAAGAACTGGCGTGAGATCGTGCTTGAGGGCGAAGATGAGGTATGGACGCGTCAATCGAATCGGCTCTAGATCGTATGCTTGACGCGTCTTCTGGTCTTAGGATGGTGTGCCAGTCTAGTGCGTTTTATTGTCATACGATTCGCATTCCTAGCGTGTTTTGACGACGTGGTCTGCTCGTAGCGATGACTGCAACGAGATTAGGCGGAGGATTCGCTTGTTGCAAAAGCAGCCGGACTTCAAGGTAATGATATGTCGCGCTCTGGAATGATTGGAGTCTAACCTTTTCGATTGAGGTGACACATTGGCTTAAGGACATTGGAGGCATCAACAACAACTCCTTTCAACGCTTTAGTATGTGGTGCTTGCAAATATTCATAGCAACGTATTCTAACGCGCCTTTACACTCAGTGAAAGCAAGCGGACCTACCGGAGGCGCCGGTAACGGCACCTATTACGCCGCGTAAGTCGACTCGTTTTTACATCCCCAGATGAGTAACGCGCCAGGATAGGTATGTTTATTTTGAGAAAGTGAGAATAGCGGAGGGCAAGAAGACGACTGCGAAGCGCCAACGAAACGAGATGGAGAACCCTGGGGGGTTCCCTCTGCAGGATCGCAAGGCGATGTGGGTGATAGGGCCGACCTGAGTGGAAGTTGTTACACATACCTTGTATATTTCGCTGCGATTCTGAAGTGTATCATACCAACGTTCGATGCTAATGATGGTTATTGATCGGATGTATCATGGTCCTCTCTCCAAGCCTCTATCCACTGGACAATGCGTGCAACATTGGCTTCCAGATCGTCTGTTGTTTCGCTCTGGAGTTCCACCACGATCTCTGGGGGATATGACGAGCGGACCTCGTCGAGGACGACCTCCATGATCTCAGCCTCGTTGTTTTCCTGTATTTTCTTGAGCGGATAGCCTCTGTGGGACGGCGGTCAGACACGGAAGGCGGAGGGCGGGATGTGGGCAGACCTTTTTTCGAGGCGATCCCAGAGTTTTGAGTGATCGCAGCGGAGGACGACGACGAGGTCGGGCCAGCGCTCGGGGAAGATGTCGGATGTGTGCCAGTCGAGGATGATGCCGCCGGCGGCTGCGAGGGGCTCGAGTTCGTCGAGGAGCTGGGAGGGGGTTAGGGGAGCGGAGGACGAGGGGGCGGTGGGGGCACCTTGTCCTCGTCGACGGTGTAGCTCTGCCACTCGTCGTCGTAGTCCTGGTAGAGGCCCTTGTCCTTGACCCAGTCGCCGACGTTGATGTGCTGGAGGGGGACGGGGGATGCCTGCTGGAGGAGCTGTGCGTGGGTGGTCTTGCCTGTGCCGGGGGTGCCGGTGAGGACGACGACGGGGGCGCGGGCGCGGGCGGGCGGCATGGAGGGAGGGAGCAAGGGCCGAGAGACGCCTGCGATCGAGGACGGGGCCGATCGCAGGGCGGGGGAGCCGCGTGGGGGGGCCATAAAAGGACTTATGTCGTGGGCCACGTCCGGCTGCCGCCCGTCTCCCTTCAACGTCTGATCAAGTTCCTCCGACGACTTGCCCATGTCCTCTCCGCCTCCTCTCCTCCTCCTCCCATGGCCCCCTCTCCTTACGCCCCCTCTCCCTCTCCCTCCCCCACCGCCCCCCTCGTCCAGATCATCCCGCTCTTTACCCCTTCCCCCGACGGCGACTCCGCCCTCGTCTCCCTCGACGCCCATCTCACTCTCCCCCAGTACACTCATTACCACTCTGTCCCTCTCCAGTCCTTCCAGCCCGTCTACTACGCCCTCAATGACGGCTCTCTCCTCACCCCCTTCTACCTCGACCACATCCACATCCCAAAGCTCTGGCTCTTTGCTGCAGGTGCCCTCTCCGTCTTCTTTCTCCGCAACACCGTCGTCGCCCTCTCCTTCATCCGCAGAAGCAGGGTCAAGGACAAGACCCTCTTCTATCTCCTCCTCATCAGTCAGCTCTTCGGCCTCCTGGGCTCCCTCGCCCTCGTGATCGCCGACTTTAATCAATCCGTCAGTTGCACTGCGTGAGCGTCCCTCCCCCCCCTCCGTCAATCGCATATTGTCTGATATCGATTCGTCCCAGGATAGGCGCCGCAAAGAAGGTCTTTGTCCAGATGTCCTGTGATACCATGGTCAGTCCCTCTGTCCCTCCGCCTTCGGCCCCTCAACCCCAGCGTCCCCACAGATCACCGGCATTCTCGGCGTCAAGGCCTATCGATGTCTCGCTAACGCATCTATTGTCCTCGCCTTTCTGCTTGCCGCCGGCGCAGTCATGATGGTCCTTCTCGGTATATCCGTCTCACGCTACCAGGCAGTTAGGTCGATATATGGTGCTCAGCTTCTTATTGCCCGCCCCACAGGACGCTCATCCTCGTTTCGTAGGCATATGTGAGGACGTAAATGTTGATTGGATCACATCTGCCATCATCTTGACGGCGTTTGTCGAAACTGCGGTCATATGCTTATGTTGTAGGTTACCTCTCCCCCTTCGACCGCTTGATATTCAGCACGTTCATTCCCAGTTCTCTTTGCAATCTGGAAGTCGTACCGGACACGTGCAGAAGCTCGGCTCAATTTAAGAATGTCCGAGGAGGGCACCGTGAACTCTTCGGTGGATGGTGCCAAACAGAGCGGCGAGAGCACCTGCATACGTCGGGGTTGGTGGGACTATGTGCCCCAAGTTCAATCACATTCCCTGTCTGCCGTACATACATTCTCTCTCCGTGGCGTCTCTCGGACATTCATGTCAAGATTGCGTCGTCTATGGACTGACGATGAGTATCCATCTGCCATTGCTTTTCAACGCAAGTCTTCTCTTCCGGGGGAATACCCGATTCCTCAGCCTCCTCGCGCGCTGGTCCCGCCTAGTTCTAGCGACGCATCTCCGCGAACATCAAGAATAGAGCCAAATCAATCGACGCGAACGCCCCGCTCTACTCAATGGTCGCCTCTCGCTGCGATCCGTAAATCAATCAGATATTTTACTCGAATCGAACTGTTCCGGAAGATGCTTCGCGATGAGGTGCGAACCCAGTTTAGTTTTCGTTGTCTTCTTGGCCAATGGGAATCCCATAGTTGCTATACACGACGTTTCTCGCCGTGATGTTCTTGGCCATTGCCATAGTGATGCTGGTTGGGGTAAACAAGCAGGTCTTCCTTGGATCCGACGGATGGATAATGCTAGACTGTATGTTGCACACCGCGATCAATGTGCCCCTTGTTAAAATCTGTTTGTTCTAGGGGTCATCATATCTCTCTTTACGATGCACAGCTTTAGGCGAGTCGTTCGGCGGCACGAGCTAGAAGCTGTTCTACAGCATCCCTCTGCTTGGGACCGCATTCTGCACAGTGATCCCGACTATACAAATGTCTTTTTCGCGAGACGGTCCAGACGCTCAAAATCTCCGCAAGAACATGCAGGAGCTCAACTTTATTCACGGCGCAGTGGGGCTCCATCAATGCAATCTGAAACGAGTAGCTGTTCAGGCTCTGAAAAGTCTGATGATACCCCCATCTCGCCTCATACACGACTCCATCCTCCCACGCCGCGGAAATCCTCCATAGCATCGACGATATCGTCACACCGTGCCGCACATTCACTTTCATGCGATCCGGCTCAACCAGCATTCTCGTGGGATTCTGCTATTGTGCTGCCAACCCTCCCTTCTGTTCCCGACGACAATGCGTACACTTCCGAGGATCGTGAAGCATCGTCCGCTGAGGGGCAGATGGATACTTTATACCCGCCAATCGACCTCGCAGACATGCGGTCACGTTATGACCAATTATCACGTTCTTTTGACCCACGGACGCTTTTGCGAACTTATTCAGACCGGCCAGATTTGGATACCGATTGGAGAAGGGGTAGCTAATTGCTGTCCCCATGTCGCCCGTTGTATCCTGTTTTCGCATTCGTGTACCATATTGCAGTCCTGTATTATCTTGTCGAAACCTTACGCATAAGATATTCGTACCAAACATGATTTTATAATTTACAACTTGAGATATCAGTATGTCATTTGCCTGATCATGAGCCTCGGAGTGTGGAAGCCTCGGACTCCGACCTTGGATGCGTCGGAGACAATTTTCGAATCGCGATCGAAATCGTATTCAATCACCGGCTAAGTTTCCGATCTTCATCCATTCTGATCACCATGAACGACGCCGAGGACCGACTCGTCAGCGCGTTGCCTATCCGCTTCACCAACTCACTTGTTCCGAATGTCCACATACACCAGTTTCCGCTCCTTACGCGACCGCTGCAGATCCCACCGACAGCCGTAGCCAGCGGCAAGCGCATCCGCGCCCGCGTCAAGCCCGGCGTGCGCAGAATCGAGGTGCACGTCCCTGTCGACACGCGCCCCGAGGTCTGGAATGTCGAGCGGTCAAAGGAGCTTGGGAAATCCAGAGTGGAAGACGACAAGGAGAAGAACCAGGAGCTGCCGAAGATGAAGCAGAGGGAGGGCGAGGAGCCGCGCCTGTCTGAGACGCGCCTGCGGAGCGAGCAGGTCCCCCAGCTGGGTGCTTACGTGCTTGGAATCGTGCGGGACGGTGCGTGCAGCCAAGGAACGTATGATTACCAGCGTAGCTGACGATAAGGCGGCAGGCCAGCTGCACCTGCACCCGATCACCGAGACGCACCAGCTACGGCCCACGCTGACTTACATGGACATCTTATCGCGCAAGACGAGGCGCTCTCGCCGGGGTGATGATGAGGACGACGATTCGGACGACGGACCCCCACCGGACCCTGATGAGCCGCCCCCTGCGCCGACACCGAAGAAGGAGAAGAAGCCCGCGGCGGAGGCGAAGGAGGTGCAGGTCTCTGTGCGCAAGTCGGACGACAGGAGCATGCAGTTCCAGGGCGGGCTGTCTGCAGTGCGGAGAGAGATGCTCACGACAATCCATGCGGAGGAGGATGAGAAGTGGGATGACTATGAGTATTGTGACGGAGAGGTGAGCTGCTCTGCGTCGATGGCGCGCTCTGGGGAACGTACTAACCGATTCTTGTACTACCAGACCGAGGAGTCGAATGTGGCTTTTGAAGCATTGTTCTCGCATAGCGATGAGCAACTGGAGTGTGAAACAGATATTGCGGCCGTATTGAAGGATATTCCGGGGCTGTAGTCCTCCTGTGTGAGTTCCTCAATACATAACACATGCTGAACGATTGTGTGCTGTTTTCGTGCTTATTCCCGCCTGTGCGGGGCTGCGTGCAATGATCCAAACTGTTTTGAATTTGGATATTTCCCAACGACACGCATGTGCATCATATGAATTGTACCGACGCGGCTTCTATCCGTAAGCAACATGTCCTACTCGCACAAGGTAAACGTCTAATTGCAGGTTTCTTTAATAAATACAGATCGAGCCATCGGATTCCAAATTTCATGTAAGCTTCAAACTAAGAGTGCTAAATAGCTGCTGTCGGCGCTGCTGGAAGTATTCGCTCCACGTGGCGCACGAAGCAGGACGCGTCGCGAGTCGCGTTTGTAACCTTGCGCGTCTCACAGACTCACAGCGACCTCCATGTCCGCATATAGCGATAGCGACACCGAGCCAGAGTCTCCTGCAGACGTATACGAGTGGGACGCGACTGAATTTGCGCATACATGCGATCCTCGAAAACCGTCTTCTGATGGGGACGGCGGCGGAGAAAATTTAGCCTCTGCGAGCGACGTGCTACATGCCATGCAAGACCTACGCTCGTTGGATTTGAAGTCGGTGGAGCATGTGCGTTCCTTGGATTGCGCGAAACTGTTGATCCTCAATATGTGGCGTATCAGGACACTTCAATGCAAGATATTGTTCAACGAGCATATACAACTATTCTAGCTTTCCTAGAATGCCTCAATCGCAGTCATCATCATCCATCTCTGGACGACGATGTAGCGGTTTGCATGCTGTGTAAGCCTTCGATTTGACCACTTGATCACAGCTATCTCGGTATATTTAATTGGCGAACAGTGAGCAGGTCTTTTATATTACTGCTTTTCGAGTTCAGAAGAGTCTTCCGAGGGATCGCCGTCCGTGATGTCGCACCTGGGCGTGCAGCGGCCACAGTTGTTTGTTGGGTAGATGTCGTCCTTGCAAAACTAGGCGATGCCATCGTCTCTATTGCTGGCGGTAGTCCTGGGGGAAAAGATAGAGAAGAAACACTACCGGAAACATTAAGGAAGCAGAGAGACGGAGACGTCTTGCGTGCGGCCACACAGTTGCCTGGTAAGCTGTTGGTTGAATGTTATTTAAGCCGATCATTTTTTGACTGTACGCTAGCCGAATGGAATGCAGTGGCGAGCACACTTTCTAATAACAGCGCTTCTCCTGCGTCTGCACGATTAGCGTTGCGTTTATTATTCGGAACCTACGTCCTAGCGCCTCACTTAGAAAATTATTGCCCGTGGCAAGAGAGGCCAGTGCATATACTCACTGCTCGACGCATCAATTCTCACATCTTTTCTTAGATCGGAAGCCAAAAATCTCCTGTCCATCCTGACCACATATGTTGAACGCGTAGTATCCCCGGGAAGCCGAATTGCGATGGCTTCAGGTATCCCAGATCTTCACCAGAGGTGCAGTGATGCCATATTGCTACTGCTTTTTATTGTAAGTGCAGCTGTTTTCTTGATGACTGCATCCATCCTCACTGAGGCGCTATACCTTAGACCGCAGATCGCGCCCAGGATCAAAATGGTCGCTCAACGTACCGACCATGTACTCACGCCAATTTACTGAGGTTGATCAGACGTGTTATGTGTCCGGTGGATACCGACTTTTCGGAGAATCATTTAACAACTCCATGTCCTGCGCTTGACACTTCTCAGACTATTATGCTCCGTTGGGGATGGGTATTGTCTTGGTGCTGGTCCTCATGGGACGATCCTCGCTTGGCAGATATCGAAGTCATCGATTACATGGTGAGCGTTCTCTGGTATCTGGAATTGATAGTATATGCGCGCTGAATGTCTACATAAGGCCGCCACCTGGCTGTATCACATAGGTGATTGTCTTAATGTCAAACTTGATGGTGACGAGGATGATACGATTGAATCATGGGACGACGGTTTGTCGAAGACTCTGGTGATGGATTCTACCTCATCGGCTTTCGCTGTCATCGTAAGGACTGGTTGTTTTGATCGAGAGAACGAATCAAAGCTCAACGCCTCGTCTCCGGAATAGAGGCTGATGCACCATGCATTATCTTTGTTGCTAGCTTCACCTCCTATATACCCATGCATTACTTCGCAAGACGTCCTGTACAAACTTTGCTGGGCCGCGGCTCAACTGCTGCGTGATAGGAAGGCAACGTATGACACCACACTGGCGTCTGAGCTCTGCAGTGCTCTCTGCAAATTTTATGTTCTCTTGCGCCATGACGACGTCGGAACTCTAAGTACGTGGGGCCATCAATGTCATGCTTGTATTGAGAGTTGATGTAACTAGTCAAGGATGTGATCATAAGGGGTCTTTCTTCCGCTCCACCGGAGCTACTGCGATCTGTGATGGAGGACGTCTGCAATGATACGAGACTAGACGTATGGGTGAAGTTTGAAGAAGGTGAGTCACACCGTCATCTTACCAATCGCCTGAATCATGGGTCGTGATATCTCAGACATCCTTGAGCTTCGAAGGTTAGAATTTTCTTGCTTTATCACTACATACCGAACAGCCTGAAAGCTACATATTGTCAGAGCAATTTCTGACGGAAAGTGCTATGATTCGTCCACATACGAGATAGTTAAAGCGGTCAGGCAAACACTCCAATTCAATACTTTAATATGGCACGGTAACGTGAATTGGCGCCATATTCGGCATGCAATCCCTGTCTTCCTTTCAGTTTTAATTGATTGGATCATGTCTGATTTTCTCGAAGTCGAAGACCAAATTGTTCTCGGAAATTGTTTGACCGCTGCGTTGGCTTCACTTGAGACGTCGGCCTCAGGCTTAGCCACGAAACCATGGAACGACGAAGCAGTCTGGCAGCTAGCACTGTCCGAAGGAGCGGATGATTTAATCAGAGCTTGTGAGCCCAAAAATATTGTGCATGTTCGTGCTTCTCACCGTCTGCCCAAGCTGCGTTTGCCACATATATCAACGTAACCGTTCCCCGACAGACTTGCGACATGCTAACATACTGTGAAGCTTGGGATCATCTGCGAGACACGTTTTTACTCATTTTGGGGCAGCATTTTGTGGGAGATGAGGAACCTCTTGCTCTTCTCGTCTGTCCCGTACTATGCCAAGCTCTTCTTTCCCTACTCAAACACGCTAATAATCAAGCCGGTAAGAGCGCACCATACTTGATACATTCTCTGAGTCATTATGCCAAGCAGTCCAATACATGTTGAGCTCCCCGTGGATGATCAACCTATCTTCTGGATTACGGCATCTGTTGACTCCGCAAAACGAAGATGAAAACGATTACTATGCTCTCCTCCGGAGCAGAGTCTCATGTTATGCAGGTGCCTTACTTACAAATGTCAGTGGCAGTATTTATCTCAGCATTCCTCGCTCGTAAATCCTAACGTACTCCCATAGATTTCTGCTGGGACTCCGCACGACTGGTTCGAACAACGAGAGAATGGCGTGGTCATTACATTTTTCTGTGATTATTAGTGATACGACTGAACCTCAGGATGCAGGAGCTTCCTGAAACAACTTCAAGACTTATACTGGTGGAACTGTTTCCAGGACATCCTCTCCTGGTTTTCACCGCAGAGGCGGGAGGATAGAGTTCGGGATGTGTGTCTTTCTGGCTAGACATAGATCGTGGGCACATAATCGAGCACAGTACGGCCATTAGAATACTTGGGCCATCATATGCGAGGCATTTCATCTGAGTCCCTCCAGAGATCTCGCGATTGAGTTGAACGCGCCTCTTTTGGTGGTGACTGAGACTAGACGACGTCGCGTCATGCACGTGACCGTGTTCGCTCTCAGTTCAACCTTGATTGCCATTTTTGGCCTCGTTGCCTGCCGCCCTCCTACCTACATCCTCCCGTACTGGAATCAAACCGAGTACTTATACTACTAGACTATGGGATTTTGCGGAAGATGTGGTGACATTGTAACTGGACCACGCTGTAAGTGCGGCGGCACAGCTGTTGGTGAGTTCCTCAGATTAGTACAGGAGCTCATACGTCTTAGACAAATACTCTAGCTCCTGTGGTAAAATGGAACCAGGGTACCCATCAATCCCAGGACAGATGGTCGCGTACATACGTAACTAAAGATAAGTCTCCTTCTCAGCCTGCCACTGTTGCAAACGATGCGGCCGACGAGATACCAATCGTTCCCGCATCATCCTCAGCAAGTCCGACGAAACGTTTTCCTCGGCCTGCGTCTGCGACATATAGCCCTTCCGTGGCTATAAGCTCTCGTGTGTCTGCTCATATTGCTTCGGCCACTAATCCGCGCCCGCCCTCACCACTCAAGCAATCTACCAGCTTGAATGCCGACGACGCCCCTTCTGCGTCTGCCAATGCTGCGGAGGGCATCTTGCCAAGTCCTCATGGGTCGGAGCTTGCAAAGGTGTATGGGTCGATTTTACAGCCAAAGGAGACACTGGCTACGTATCACTGCGCTATATGCACTACTCCCTTCCCCCCAGACGCGACCATCTACCCTGACCCGTCTTCTCTATCCTCGACGGATTTGGATGGTTTGCCTGCGGTCAACACGCGATTCTTGTGTCGATCCTGCTTTACGACCAATGGGGGTTCGAAGGGCGAGTGTCCGACATGTAATAAACCCGTCCTCATCCTCAAGAACGAGGGAGGGTACATTCAGAATGGTGGTCAATATTGGCATAAGAAGTGCTTCTGCTGTGCAGGCTGCTCCAAAAACATCGGAGAGCGCCCAATGGTCGATCTCCTGGGGAGACCAAGCTGTCCTGATTGTTTCGAGAGTTGTCTTTCAAGGTCGACAAAAGATGACACTCGAAGGCGAGGGACGACTGATGAAGATGTACGCAGCAATCTTGGTGGAACAAAGCGCACAGACAGAGAGCGAGAAGGGAGTCCCGCTCTCGAGGAGTTGGAACAGCGTCTTGGCATTTTTCGCAGTCGGGAGAGCACTCCGATCAAGGAAGAGCGACCCGCTCCCCGTAATGCTGGACTGAAGAGCCCTACTACCACTCCCACTGCTCGCAGTCCTCTTCCTACTAGGTACACTCCTCGAGCCACGGAATCAAGCCCGATTGTTGAACGCCTTGCGGCGCGCGCCAGAGCGGATTCATTTACGAGTATCGGTGCTTCTCCCATCATGCGCATTGCTGACGACGAGAGACCTGGGATGCAGTCTACTCAGAGATTGACGAGCTCGGAGTCGGAAACACCCACGAAAGATGCGGACAGCCCTCTTGCAGCCCGCCTTCGGTACAGAAGTCCTGAGCCAAATCCATCTTCGTCTGATGGCAGTCCACTGTCCCGTCGTACTTATACTAGATTGAAGAGTCCTGAACCAGATGTGTTTGGGTCCAGTCCTGTCTCGAAAGTAAGCGGTAGTCCTCGGTATGGGAGTCCCGGAACTCCTATAAGGCCGACTGAAGATGCGATCGAGGAAATGAAGCAGAGGTTTCTAAGGCAGGCATCTCCCTCTCCTGGCCCTTCCAAGAGTACCATCCCACCGCCTTCCAACGCAACAACGCCTACAAAACCTACGAGACGGTCAACGTCTCGGCCTCGAAGGAGCCAAACCACCGAAGGCACAGATGAACTCGGTACTATCCTCAGTAGCTTCAACACCCCATCGCGAGAGAGCATTGGACTGTCGAGAATTCCTCGTGCATCCCTTAGTCCACCTCTGAGGAGCAGTCCTTCTGCGCCCTTGCCCCACACTACTCTGCAGCGGAGCGACACAGACGCAGTGCCCGATTACACTCTACGCCGCGATAGGACAGGAGACGCGGAAGTGGAATCTCTTCTAGGAGATATGCCAGGGGTCGTCAAAGGTGATCTCATTGACTTGAGCGACGTTCCTCTCGGACACCAGCTTCCCCAGTTCGAATCGTCGGGATCCATGTCAATGATTTCCAACGTTCCCACCGTGCATGCGCCGCTACCCTCGGTCCCCACTCGTATTGATCTTAATGTGAAGGTTGGTAAGCGGAGTTCTTCGCTTGAGCACAGCTACGAGCATTCGGTTCCCTCCACCCCAGATTTGGCTGGGGACTTTTCGGACTCCACGTCTACGACTCCATCTAGTGCGCCACCCACGCCGCCCTCGATAAGCCCCCCTGCACGGCGGATTTCAGGCAATGCTCCTAATGCGAGTAAACGCAGTGTTCGGACGCATGTGACAGGCGATACCGCACGCTCCCCTCGAACCTCTGATGCGCATTTTACTACCCCGACACCAAAATCCAAGACACTCCCTAGTAAGGTAGAAATATCCTCACCTACACCTCTTTCACCAGATACTCGTTGCGCGAAATGCACACTCCCCTTATTCATCACGAAACACGGTGGAAAGTTTGTTACAGTGCCAGAAGAGCCATCCAGCTCGGGCGTTCCACCCAAGACATATCACACGGCATGCTTTAGATGCAAGGTGTGCGATGGTCCGTTTGAGGAGCGGGACGGTGGACGCACAGTGTTTGTCAGAGCGGACGTAGGTGTTTGCCACGTTGAGGTAAGATGGTTGACCATCTCATCGATTGCGAGTACTGATAATGAAGACAGTGCGCACCCGCAGACAAGATCAGAGTACGACAGGTACCCAGTATGATTCCGAAACCGACAGCCCTATCCTCCACACCATTGACTACATCGAGAGCAAGCAACACGACGCGCTACTCTGCTACGCCGACCTCAAGTAGATATGAGGGACCCCCGCCGACTGCACCTGCTACGACTACTACTTTTACGTTTCCCAAGTTCGGAGGCTCGTCTTCCTGTCCAGGATGCCATAAAGCCGTGGCTGTGATGGAGCGAGGTGTGGTGCCGGGACCCCAAGGGACACGATGGCATGCGGCCTGCCTTCTCTGTGGCGGCAAGGAAGCGAAAGGACGGAGGCGCGAGGAGGGAAAGCCTGGGTGCGGGAAGAAGCTAGATAGTGCCGCGAAGATGGACACTGACGGCCAGGTGTGGTGCCGCGAGTGTCTGGTGAGTGTTGACATCCACCTGTCCTCCCATTAGCTGACTTGCACGGCCGGCAGCTGCTCCTGCCTGCAACCTTGCGGAATACGCCCTCCCCAGTGCGGAGCCCGCTGGTGGCTTCGCACACGGGGAGCCGGGGGATCGCGCCGCAATACACGGGCACGACGACGATTGCTCGCCAGTTCACGGGCATTGGTGCGGGCGGGGATGCGTCGGTGATGCGGCAGCTGACGGGCGGGGGGCTGAGTCCGACGAGACAGCTCTCGTCGAGCCCGACGAAGCTGCACGACGGGCCACGGTCGGGGACTGGGCGAGTGTATCCGCGGCCCAAGTCGGTGATCGGTATGCGGAGCACGAAGAGCGACGGCGAGGGGAGGGGAATGTTCCTGGTGCGGCAGTTGACAGGTGGGAACGGGGGGTCCAGTGGGAATGATTATGGGGTGTGACAGACAGAGAAGGAGATCGTGCTGTCGATCCGAAGCGTGTCAGGCCGCGTCGGAGGGGTGGTGTGTCTGCAGGTGGACTTTGTCTTTGTTTTCTCGCTATCGGAACGCTCACGTAGGTAGTATATTGTATTTATACGATGGTCATTGGTGGCCGTAGGATGCATATGCAGTGGGATCTGAATGAATGGGCTTCTGGAAGCCTGTGGTTGAGAGGCCCCGCTTTGCAATGGCGAAGCCGAGCAGTGGAAAGCGGGACCTGTGCCTGCTGGTGTGTTTCGAACAGGGCAAGAACATTGGCAATGGGTTGAGACGAACGTGCGCATGCGGGGGCGTGGACTGATGGCAGAATAAGGCCAGTGCATTTCGGGGGCGAGCTTATCTCCCCTGGGCGATGAAGGGTGGAGATTATCAGACCACGCGACCATGAGAGGGAAGGCGAGTGCCATGACAAAAGCAAGCCTGGACGAGTCTGCAGACGAGGCAGCAGGCCATGGTGGGTGAGAGACCTGGATATATGCGCGAGACCCGAGGGTGTGCCGCACTGTGGCTGTAGGCTGGAGCAGGCGACTGGGGACGCGCGCCTGAGTAATCGGTCAGACGGAGGGAGGCCCGAGTCTCCGCGGCGATTGCCGGCGGTATGTAAACTCAACGACCCGCGTCGAGCCACTCCGAGTCCTCCTCTCCGCCTCCGCCTCCTCGTCTTCGTTGTTGTCGTCGTTCTCGTCGTCGTTGCAGCTGTCCTCGCCGTCGCACATGTCGTCGGCCAGACAGCCCCCCCATCGCCGCCGCTCCCTGTCCGCCTCCTCTCCCATCCGTGGCCCCTTCCGACCCGACGACCCGAAATGGCGGTTCGCGGCCAAGCGACCACGCCCCAGCCATCCCCACAGCCCACCCTGCAGGGACATCCCCGGCTCCGACGACCCTCCCGAAAAATGGGACGTAGACCAGTGGCGAAGGGGCAAGCGCGCTCGCAGGGACTCCACCGTACGTCTTCTCTGCCGCTCTGTCCGGGACCGTACGGGCTCATGCCACATTCCAGTCACGAGCCGGTACCGCCCAGCAGCGTCGTCCGCGCCCGTCCAGCTCCCTCTTCCCCGACGAGCACATCCCCTCTCTTCCTCCCATGACTGTCTTCCCAAGCACATCGGCCGCCTTCAACCTCTTTCCCGAACACAACCATCGAAGGTCCCGCCCCATCTCCCATCCCGATCCAGCATACATCCATGACGACGAGCTCCTTCCCTCCGCCCAGCTCGACCGCATGCGCTCCGACGCCTTTGGCGAGCTGCAGCGTTGCGTCGCAGAGAACGGTGAAGGCCTTGTTCAGCGCATGCGCGCTTGGGAGAACTCTTGCTCAACGTCGTCCGCAAGCTCACCCCGCCTGCTTACCCACGACCTCCAGCCTGCGCGTCTCCGGCCGTCGCGCCACGCCGGCGGCGGCGCAGAGGCGGGCACTGCCGCGAACGATGACGACGACGTCGAGATCGTCTCGGGCGACTCCTCCGGATTGCCTTCCTTCCACTTTCGGAGTCCTTCCCACAAGAAGCGCGCCCTTTCTCTCGGCATGATGGACGTCGACCTCCCCCAGATCGCCGTTCACCCGTCTCCTGTCGACCCCTCCGCCGCTCTCTCCGCATATTCCGACGACGATGACGACTTCTCCATCCTGGGCTCGTCCAGCTCCTCCCCTCCTACCCTCGCCCACACATACCCCAACTCATCCAACTCGTCCGCCATCTCTCTTCCTCTGTCCCACAGCAGCACATCGCCCTACATGTTGTCTCGCTCATTCACCTTCACAAGCGAGCACCGGGTGCACGTTCCGTCGACAGCATCCCGGTCGGAGAAGGCTCTCGCTGCCCTCACCCTTGCCATGGCAAATGGTGCTGGGGGAGTGAACGACTACGCTGCACTCCAATTCGCACAAGGCCAAAACTCGGTCATAGACGAATGCCAAGTGGGCGAGCTCTGGCATTGACCCTTACCATCTCTTCGCATCGCCGCACAGGCGGCACCGCCGAGGACAATTCACTTCATGCATTTGCCTGCACGTTTCAATTCATATCCCATTCTGCATGAACGGCCACGCCACCAATCAAAGTTTTCAGGGATCACCATGTCGCATTATACTCCATCGAAATTAAGATTGCTATATCCATAAACCCGATAACCCAAGCGCACGAGAAGTTTCTTCCTCGCTTCTTGAAACCAATGTATACATATTACTCGGGACGTCTTCGCACTCCATCTACTTAATGGATAACGTAATGCTGTATCACTTGATGATATTATTTGCACTCGCAAGTCTACAGTTTCTACAGTGTCTCTTCCTTTCAAATCCTGTTCCATTTAGCTGTGAACACAAACTAGTGGTATATTGTGATAAAACCCCCAGAGATTGTCTGCACATGTATTCTCATTTGACCAGACTAGTTGATTAGGTAGATTAAACAGTCAGACGAACAGCATGTTAGATACATTTTGTTTCATGCCTGCTGGCCACTCATCTGTCCACGGAATGTAAAATTGGACGCATGACATCATATGTGAGGAGGCGGAGTCGCACATTCCCTGGGTATCAGGCAGGCAAAGGGAGGAAGTACGGCGTAGCTTCTGAGAGAGCTATCATAATAACGGCGTTAGTAAGGCTTTCGGTAAGACTTTAACGTGGACTTCTACGAACCTGCAACGCTCTGCATGACGCTCGATGGCCCAAGACTACTGTTCATGCTGCCGATATTGCCTCCCGCGCTGCCAACTGCACTCGAAGGACTAACAAGGCGAAGCGGCGCCTTGCCTTTCAGATCCACAGAAGGAGCCACAGCCGCAGAAAGATTGTCTGCGGCTTGGAGGGCTTGTGAGGGCATCACACCCAGCTGCGGCGCCGGCGAGGGATCCACCTGCGACAATTGGGGGGAGAGGCTCTGGGCAAACGCGTCCGACGCGGCCTGCGCCCATACGCGTGCCTCCGCCTCGAGCGCACGGTTCTGCTCTGCGAGGCGGGCCACGGCGTGTTCGGCCTCGATGCGTTTCTGCACCTCGTCCGCGTAGCGGTCCTCGGCCCTGCGCCGCGCCCTGTTCTCCAGGTCAAGCGCGTGCTTCATGCCTGCCGACAGTGCGCGTCAGATGTCTGACTGGAGCAAATAGCAAGGCCGACGCACCCTCGATGAGCTCGGACACCCCAGGCGGGACGTAGAGGCTGTTGGATGACCTCACCGACTTGCGGGCGGGCGGCGAGAGGTCCGCACACCACAGCGGCACCGCGGCCACGTCCGGCACGCCCAATAGGTGGAAGCTCATGTCGGATGAAACCTCTGTCTCCGCGTCGCTATTCTCGTGCGCAGAGAAGGCATGTGGCTGATCGGAGGTCGACAGGTGTGTGGACACGCTTGACCTGGAGCGGGATTTCATGTGCTCTGGGGACTCGTCCAGACGACGCCGCTTGCCCGGCCTGCTCACGCGCACCTCTGACCGCTCGGATGCGCTGTCCATCTCCACCTCCATCTCCTGCCCACGCTCGTCCTCATCTGCATGGCTTGCGGTCTTGCCCCTCCCCTCGGACATGACGTCCATGGCCGCGCGCACTTTGATAGAAGGTCTCTTGCTCCTCGCGGTGCGCCGCATGGTAGAATGGTTCTGTGAAGGCTCCGGTGTCAGAAGCCCAATTGCGTCATCTGCCTTGCGCCGGTTTTCGCTACCATGCTCAGAGCCTGAGAGATCGATGTCCATATTCCGCGCTGACTCCAGAAATTCTGTTCTCCTACGCTTGCGCGAATTTGTTGTAGATGAGGACGTGGGCTTTCCTTCATGCATGCGGGTCTTTGGAGATACTAAATTTGGTGTATTCAGAGGTTGCGGTTTTTGTGATGCTCCCCTGCTCGGTCCCGGGTTAGGTTGCTTCGAGACAAACCGAGAACTAGGTTTTTCTGAGCAAAATCCAAAATAATTCAATAGTGCTAATTTATTGAAGAATGCGCATAAAACGCACTATTGCGAGGAAGAGGCTGGGTGGGTTTGGTAGGCTGAGAAGCAGACTCCGATGGCCGAGATGTGGGAGAGCGTTCTGGTAGACGGACATAAGAATCATCAATTTAAGTTCTGATGGAAGCAGAACGCTTACTTCGTCTCAGACGCATGGGTGAAGCAAATTCTATGAGGCCGAATATTCAGACCTGCGAAACGCCCGACACCAAAGTTTTTCACTCACCATGCCAGTCTGTCCACCTCGAACTGGACGCCGGAACACTACTGGCTCTTCTCGATGCTGAATAACGTGGTTTTTACAATCAGGTTCTTGCAAAGCTCTGACGACCCCGGAGAATATTGTACCTTGTAACTCTGCGGCCTTGCTCGACGGACGCGGGTTGGACCTTAGATCACTTGATTTGACCATCACTAATGAGGATTTTGAATAGTTTTAGAACATGCGATGTGACGTGGACGTCTAGACAATGAACAAATTTGAAGTGGTGATGAAGGTGGATTTCAGATATCCAAAGACGATCGTGGAGGACACGATCCTCGCATGAGGCGCTAAGCGCCGTGTCCCCAATTGCACCGACTAGAATTGAGATTACAGAATACAGTTTGGTACAATACGAATGCAACATATATACAAGGGAAAAAATAAGATTATTTCTCAGAATGAGTTCGCAGCAGCGCCAAGGACTTTGGCTGCCAACGCACGTAGTATCTATAGTAAGAGGTGTTCAGTACCCGTCTCGCATACATCCATATGTTGAATTACCTCTGCTTTCTGATTACCACCGAGCTGAGCGAAGACCGACGCAACGCTCTTCCCTTTAGCATCTCTGATTGCACCCAAGCGGTTTCCGGCATATGCTCCGAACATCATCCCGGGTATATTCGCGATAATGAACCCAAGGCCTGCGCCGCAGATGGCTCCGAGCCAAGACCACCACGGCGCATGTCGCTGCACTTCCGGTCGCAGTAGCTACAAGAAACAATAAGCTCCAAGGCACGTCATAGAAGCCATACATGGTACACACCTCCTCGAAGACATCGGCGAAGACATTGTCGGCGTCAGGTTGAGTACCTGGAGCCCCAGCCGAAGACCCTGCACCGGCATTTGGGACACCCCCGCCAAACATACTAGCAAAGGTGTTGAACCAATTTGCAGAGGCCTGCGGCTCTCCCGTCCTTCCTTGAGCACCGCGTGAAACGTAGATCGTGTCGTATTCTCTTCGCCTTGTGGCATCGGAAAGTACGTAGTACGCATCTGCTACTGCCTATGGAGGAATAAGCCTGTAAAAACGTAACATACGCACTGTATGGCACACCTGAAACCGCTCAGTTGCAGCTTTCTTCTCGGCTTGTGTTGCATTGACCAGTCTATCAGGATGGGTCCTACAGAACTGTACCGATTAGCCACGATCGTATTCGTTGAGAAACGTAAACTATGCACTTCAAGGACTGTATCTTGTACGCATGCCTAATTTCATCGGGAGTCGCAGTCTGAGGAATACTCAGGAGCTGGTAGTAGTCGGGAAATTTGGACATGGCGCAAAGGCGGGGAGGAGACGTGTGGCTGCGCGCCCCGCAAACCACTACATGATACTGACGCGTGACGTCATGCGGGTATGTTCAGACGCGCACACGTGACTGCAGCATATAAGTATTCAGAATTTAAAATCAAGCATTTAGCAGAGCATCGACGTCCATGCGGTATGTCAGAGTGTCTATGAACGGATTAATATCGACTTGACCAGAGGGAATAGAGATACAGTACAGAATCCGGCCAGTGATGCAGAAGGTTGCCGAGTCATGCTCATCTATACTACATTGACGTGATGACAACAATGTGCGTAAAACAAGCATCGCAAGTTCAATGGAGCTAGGAAACCTGTCCAGGGTGTCAAGTATACATGCCAATGAGAAAAGCCAGCGTTTCGGTTTGAAGGGAAGGGTCAATTGTCCATGATTTTCCGAAAGCAAAGTACATCGGAAGCAGTCAAGGTGTGTACCATAAGCCTATATGGGGGCCGGATTCTCGGTAGCAGGGCTCATATCTGCGGCAGTAAGTCGTGGCCGGGGAGGCAATCCGACAGGCCTGGTGAATCGACGATCAGCAGCTTGGAATGTTCGTCCGGCATTCTCACTGCTTGGCGCCGCTGGCCTAAGGTGCTCATCTCTGATCGTATCTGCCGGGCGCAGTGGGGACCTACATCTGGAAGCAAGCGATCCAAAGCTATCTGACGGCACATGCGAGATTGGGAACCTCGGAGGAGGAAGATGACCCTCGTCCGAGTTGTTGAGAATTGAGGCAGATGAAAATGAGCCAGGCTCAGAATGTTCTGTATGTGTAAGCCCTAGTGCCCAAAATATTGAGTCACGATCGGAAGTGACAGCCAGAGGTAAGATGGCACTCACCGCCAATAAAAGACGTGATCTCGTATTGCGTTCCTCCAGAGTCTATGCGATGTCGATTACTATTCATCGCGGTGTCCATGTCTATGACTGAAGGTGGACTCCCGTTATTTCGACGCCCGTATTGGTCCGTGGCAAGAAGTAAGTTTGGAATTTCAACATGGGAGGAAGGCCGTATGGGACCATCGCTATCAATTTGTGAGGCACCTGCAGCTGAATTCGGTTGTATGACGACCGAAGGCATATCGGCTCCGATACTAGAACGCCCCTGAGGCGGAGCAGGGAAGTTGCTGAGTGAGAGATCGCTCTGTGTCGTTGATCGCGTTGTACGATCCGCAGAGCGATCCTTACGATCGTCAGAAATATAAAGCCCACCCAAATCGAAAGTTTCGTTTGAAGGGGATAATACACGCAGCGCAGCGATGGATTGGTCAAGCTCTGCTTGTTGACGAATGAGTTCCGAGATACGGGATGATCGAGCGGAGTCAAGTCCAGTCGGCGTAGGCTGGAGACGAAGCTGATTCAGGAACCTCCCTTCGATACCTCCATCATCAGGACCAGGTACCGGTGAGCCATACGCAGACGTTGGGGATCCATATGCCGAGGGAGAAACTGGGGATATGACATATACTGGTTCCATCCCCATTTGACGAGGATGTGTCGGGGGCGGGATAGCTAAGTTGTACAACTTGTGCAATTCAGCACTTCGCCCTGTTACTAGAGCAGAATTCGATGATGGGGATTTGTTAGACACCCGCAGCGTATCTATTACGGAAGTATACACAGGATCTTGCCATTTGGCACTTTGCAAGGGTTGGCCTAAGCTCTGGTTGAATGATTTGGTGGTGTCCACATCAATAGCAGAGTCTGGAACACCCCCACCAATGTCACGACCATCAGGAGAGTACCCTCGCTCAGCTTGATCTTGACTCCATAGACGAACTTGGTCCTGTGTTGGAGAGGGTGGTGCGAAGGGGCGGCCAGAATATCTGCGCATATTCAACCATGTGGAGAGCCGAGAAGACGCAGAAAAACGTTGCATCAACGACGGGCGCTGACTGCTTCCATGGACGTTTTGACCAACAACCGACAACAAATCGGGGGAGACGATGACAGGGGGAGTAATGCGGAGGGAAAGATCATGTGCCTTCATTTCTGGTAGACCTCGGAACGAGCTCTTGCGGCGAATCATGGTGGCATCAATGGAAGATGAAGTAGACCACGAGGGCCGGCGCAAGTGGTAGAAAGCACTGGTGAGCATATACACAATCAGAATATAGAATTCCACAGCTTGCATAAAGCGCCCGAGAACTGTTTCCGTAAACTCGACTGCGTAGTAGGCGCATCAACACAAGTACACCGAAAGCCAATTACTGAACTTACACATAGCGACATTACCGATGCCTATTAAGATACTCAGGGATAAGGCAGATATAGGTGCCGAATAGCCAAGCAATTTCTTTCTAGTAGGAACGACACTGGGGTTGGCTAACATCCCCACCCAACAGTTGAGTAGCAGCTTCAGAAGGAATATCGCCGATAGCACTATTTGAATCGCGGCCTCTACTTCGTACAAAGGCTCAACCTCGTGGAGCGCGTTAATGTTGCGATACAGGATCTGGAGCACAGGATCTGTCAAGGTCAGTGTCAGGGTGAGCATTTCGAGGAATATGCCGAATGCCCCCCATCGACCCCAACTACCATTATGCATTGCCTTGTCGCTTGGACGGATTTCGCCTGGAGGTGGGCTGGCAACAAAGCCCCAATAGAATAGGAAGCGCAATCCAAATGATAGTGAAAACCCCACTTCGCGGACGATGATCAGGCCGGAAACAGAATTCAGATCGAGAGCTTGATCGACGGCGGCAGATCCTCTTACTAGCATCTGAACGAGGTCGAGTATAGAGGAAATAAATGCGACGACGACTGCCATATGCAGGCAAAACGTCAGGCTATCCGCCTGTTAGCGCGAAACACATGGCAGACGATCGTCATTGCACTTGCCTGTTTGCACGGCGCATGAAGACAAAATACGGGAAGACGCCAAGGGATAAGATCCCGACACAAAAGAATGGAATATCAGCAAGGAGGTACTGAACCTGGTTACAAATACGGTGAGGAGATGTATGCAGACACAAGCCACGCCACCTACCATGTGGTCATTGCTCAGACTTGTGAAAGCTGCTGCTACTCCAGCCATATCTGAATGGTGGATACCTAATGACGATAAAGGCTGTACGACGGCAACTGTCGTGCCAGTGGGGATGCTAACAAGTGACTAGCTAGCGCAAACAACGAGAGAGGACCAGCTGGTTTGTGTTCGCAGGCTGCGTCAGTCCGGCTGAAAAGCACTACGAGAACCAGAGAATACAAGGCCCCGAGATGCAATCCCAGAGCTATTGCAAGACTGTCACGACAGCAGCAGATCTGTCTCGCTAACACCAGAGAGGACGCAGCGCTGTCCGGCCCAGTGATCTTGAAGCTCAGGCGAGAAATGAAAGATCTGCGCAAGGACCGGACATGAAAGAAAAGGTGAGTACTTAGGATCTTGCGCTACACCGAGTCCGAGTTTCCAGACCCAGCTTGACAACGATGGTTACTTGGCAAGAAGTTCCAGAAAACGGCTGGCGCCTAGGCCAAACGTCGCGACCCCCATCTTTGATAAATTTTGCTTACGGCCACCGCTGCGACCCAACTGTTTCTGGTCAGATCATGAAGGAAACAGCGGCTTTTTTCAACCAAACACTACTACAGGCACGATCCAAACAGGTTATGGATATCCATCCTGCAGTGTAGCTTCCAAGTTGAACGATGGGTCATTAGTTGGAACCTGAGTGTGGTTGAACAGCGAGTCCAGTGGCTGAATCATTTCGGGTCCACCAGTCCTCTTTCTCGAGCGGTTTCGACTCTGAGGGCTGCCATGGCGCTGGGTCAGGTTCAGAATCCCGGAAACAGATCGGAAACATGAGAGAGAGGATTGAATGACTCCGGCGCCTGAGTAAACGGCGCGGTGAAACGCGCGGACTGGCCGCCCAATCGCAACGACGCGGTGCACGTGACCGTACATCTCTATCCGGAAGCTGCAGCTTCCCATCCCGACTCCATGTCGAATGTGGGTTCCGCTCGTCCGAGGCGACTAGTCGTTCTCATCTCGGGCTCAGGTGTGTGTCCAACTTGTTCGAAGGTCACCATTTTTGAACGACGTCGCAGGCACTAACCTCCAAGCCCTTATCGATGCCCAAAACACTCCGGCTCTTCCCAATACACGCATTTCGCTCGTCCTCGCCAACAGGAAAGCTGCGTATGGACTGACACGCGCGGCGCGAGCGATTCCTCCCATTCCAACCGCATATCTCGCTCTACAACCATTCCTGAAAGCCAACCCCGGCAAGACGCGCGATGACTATGATGCAGAAGTTGCTCGGATTGTTATCAGGGAGAAGCCGGACCTGGTTGTGCTAGCCGGGTGGATGCACATCATGGGCGACGGGTTTTTGGATATTGTGAATGGGGAGAGGACACTGGATGGTGAAGACAAGGTGGAAAAGCCAATCCCGGTCATCAATCTACATCCTGCGCTACCCGGCGCTTTCGATGGTGCGAACGCGATTGAGCGAGCGTATGAGGCTTTCCAACGGGGCGAGATACCACATTCAGGAGTTATGGTACATCGCGTAGTCAAGGAAGTCGACCGCGGCAAACCTGTTCTTGTGCGAGAGGTTGAAATTCTCGAAGGAGAACCAATCGAAGCATTTGAGGAACGTTTGCATCAAACTGAGTGGGAAATAATCGTTGCAGGCACCGCCAAAACATTGGACGAGTATGTGTCGGTAAGTCGAGCAATACAAATCGGTTCTTCGGTTTCTCACCCCGTGCTCAGCGCAGTGACATTGGCTCTACGAGTTGAAAGTGATACTTATCTATAGGGTGCGTAGGTGACGTCTCGGGCCATATCACCGCTGGGTGTCCGCCGTTTCTGGTTTCTACAATGATCTGTAGCGTTATGCCAAAGGTGCAAGAACAAAGAGATGTATATTTTCAGACAAGCCCTCCGTGTGAAGCATTTGGACAGTGATAGGAAAAAATGTCAAGGGTATCCAGGGCCCCGCATCTCTTCTTGTAATGGATCGATAGGATGGACTGACGTCATATCGCATCATTATAACCACCAGTGATCAAAGCACGCAAATTTGAATAAGGAATCCCTCCTCCCAGAACGCTCCATTCGATCACATCTTGGCAAGCAATGGTTGCCAGTTCACCCTCTCCACCTGCACCGGACATCAACGAACCGATGCGTTTGCAACTAGAAACCTGACTTACCATCTCCGGCACAAGCTCATTCACATTTGTAGCTCCCATAAGTCGCATGCCCAGGACGATCTCACGTTGCAGGATACGCACCGCCTGGATGACGCCAGCTTCACCGTAGGCCTGACAGTCGCACCTCACTTCAGCATTAGGATGCAAACAATCGTCTGACCGCTCACGCTTTGGGCGTACAAGAATGGCCGACCTAGACCAACAGCTTTAGCTCCGAGACATACAGCCTTGAGGACATCTATTAGAACCATTTAGTAAATAGCAAAAAGTTAAACGGGAACTGTACGACGAATCGCGCTTACCTGTTCCTCGACGCACACCGCCGTCGATATAAACTGGAAGCAAGGTCAAGTTGAGCGAATCGTACTGAACGAGATCACGCACCTTCTAGTTTGTCGAAGACATCCGGTCGCTGTTGACGAATCTTGTACAAAACCTCGAGAGGAGGCAATGAACTGCAGTCTCATCATATACGAGTTGCAGCAATAGATTGAAATGACTCACTATTCTAGCTGGCGACCTACATTGACATATCAGTAGCGAAGCTTTATGTTTGGCGACAGCAGGGCTTGCCTCCATGATTCGACAACAAGATGCCGTCAACGCCCGCCTCTGCTGCGAGCACTGCATCCTGTGGACTATATCAGCCCAGGATATACTATCCATTGTGTGCATTTACTGACAGCAACACACTGTATACCTATAAATTCATATTAGCAAAGGCCACATAATTGTTGGAAGGGAAAGAACCTTTGAGTACGATTGGAAGCTTCGTGACCTTTCGTAGCCAGGGGATAGTCTGTCCGAGAATCGTGTAAATCGCATGATCCCATAGTTTTCTAGTGATAACATCACGCGCCTCGGAGAATGTCATATCCAGATCCATGTGCTGTAGCAACGCTCCTGCAGTACCATAAAAATTGACCTGGCCTTCAACTTCCTTCTCGACATCGTCCGGCTGCCGTGATATCGCTTCTGCCTCGCGCTCCTGCGCCTCGAGTACGAACGGTGCGCGGATATCTCGCTCGCGGTTTCCGGAGACAGGAGCATCGACGGTCAAAAATATAGCTCTGTAACCAAGCTCCTCTACCTCGCGCACGCGTTGAGCCGCAATTGCATTATCTTTGTTTTTATACAACTGGAAGAAGAGCGGCTGGGAAGGCGAGAGACGGCCGGCGGCGATCTGCGAAGGAGACAGCGAGGCATTGGAGGACACCATCTGGATGATGTTCGTGCGGCCGGCTCCGCGGGTGATGTTGATCTCACCTGTGTGGATGACATACGTTAATAAGCCACTACGGCCGGATAGAAGGAAACTTACCCAGTGGGTGACCCAGCTTGGCAAGGGCAGCGCCACTTACGAATATGGGTATGGGGGATTTGATACCGAGGATGCTTGTGGAAGGATCAACTTGGGATATTGGCCGCAGGACGCGGGGATGGAAAAAGAATCGGGAGAATGCGCGTGCGTTCTCCGTGTTAGCTGTATGCATCATTAGAGGAAAACGAGTACAAGCCGGACACGCGCATACTAATTTCATCGTCAGCAGCAGACGAGTAGTACGCCATGGCTTTGTGCGACAAAACCTTGAGCGCGACGTCCTGACGATGATAAATTTTGGTCGATGCACTGTGCCCGAAGAAAGTGGCCACCATCGCACCTCCATATCACGCAAGCTCAGAATCTGGTTAATACGCGTTTTCCTTGCCTGCGCCTGCTCTACGCGAATCTCGTCCTTCGTCTTTTGGCGTGTCTCTCGTTCCTCCTGCAGCTTCTGCGCACCAGACGAGTCGAGGAGACCGAGATGTTTGTGGGGAGGGAGATTCTTATCGAGAGCGTCTGGAGGGTGGATGGGCTCGTATGCAGCAGTCGCGTCGCGTCCAGCATATTTAAGGATGATTTTTGCACCTCCTGGGTGCTCCTGTTACGGAAGGATGAGCGGGGGATGCGGGCGTTGCCGACGATGGACATGGAAGAACGCACAGGGAGGAAGTCGGTCACGTCGTACACGCGGTTGCTGATAATAACCCAGCACGAGCTACGTGCATCCCTGCTCGTTCATAACATTTTGCGAAAGAAAATGGGAAAAGACACACCTGCTGGTGTTGTGCTGACCGACTTCCTGTAGCGTGTATGATTGCGGCATGGTAGTATTCCAGTGTGCGGCACTCTCTAGATCGACTCGAAACCCGTCAGTGGTTAGTACTGCTCTCGGACTGGCATCGCACAGACGTTACGGTTCACGACAAGGAGCTCAGTGGCAGTCAGTCTGGACACGAGGATCTATCCAAGCTCAATCGCACGCCGGAGGCGACGGGATAGGCTCGGTCCTCCGCAAGGCAGCCGCCTTTGAGCATTTCCGATCATGGGACACTCGAATGATCGCCTAGCTCAGAGGAAACACCGTTTGGAAGACTTAGCAGACGCCGCGCCGACTCAGGTTGCTAGACAGCCCAGTATCATGGCGGTACATAAGTGTAACTAGTATATGTGCGTATGCCAGTTCAGAACATAACACAGTCATAGACATACAGGAGATATCTAGATATAGGCTACTTGGTATAGATTGAATCGAGCACATAACATGCAGATCGCTTTCAGAGCGGACCCTGTCCTTCACATTTTGGAGAGTAAGGGCTGCCAATCCACACGCTCTATCTGTTGAGAAGAGACGATGCATCATTAAGCCGACCAGCACTTCAAGAAACAATGTCATACCATTTCTGGTACCAGCTCCTTTACACTGGTGACACCAAGTAATCTCATACCGAGAATGATTTCTCGCTGCAAGATGCGTACAGTCTGCACAACACCAGCTTCACCGTATGCCTATATGAAATATGTCAGCCACAGCGGATCAGTTTGAGCCATCGCGCACATACGCTTTGTGCAAAGTGGAAGGCTCTTCCAAGACCGACGGCTCGAGCACCTAGGCATAATGCTTTCAGGACGTCTGTTATCCAGGTAAGAAGGTTATATGAATATCAAATCGGAAACAATTCTGACCGGTACCACGATGTACTCCGCAGTCAATATAGACTGGATATCTCATTAGAACTCGCATAGATGATAGTGACTACGAAAGGTACCTTCTAATTTGTCAAACACGTCCGGACGCTCCTTTCGAATTCTATACAGGACCTCTATGGGAGGCAGAGAGCTACAAAATAATTCGGCAAAATGACCAACTGAGATAACTTTTGAGCTTACTATTCCATTTGCCGCCCTAGGAGCTCATAGGTATTAAACAAAATGTGATGGAACGATCTAAATATTCAAACTCACCGCCATGATTCGAGATCAAGATACCTTCTACTCCAGCTTCTACAGCCATAACTGCGTCCTTGTTCGTGTTATGAATATCGTTTTAGGATGTGTGTTATAACATAGCCCTACCGCGACAGTTTGGATACCTGGAGCAACGTATTAGCTTCGGTCTTGATCGAGAGCAATACGAAACATACCTTTAAGGACAATGGGCAACTTCGTGGTTCTCCTCAGCCAAGGAAGAGTCTAAAATACACTACAGTTGCAAAACAGAAACAAAACTATGACCACTTACTCTTGACCAAGACATATCTAAGTCGGACGTTGTCCGCAAGCCGCCTGACGTGCCTACCAAGACAAGCTCGCCCTCCACCAGTTTGTTATCCGCATCCTCAGGCCTTTCCGGCATCTCACCTTTACCGGCAACTTGAGCTTCTTCCAACAGCCGTTCTTGCGCCTCGAGCTCAAAGGGCGCTTTCAGATCTCGCTCACGGTTTCCATTTAGGGAGGCATCCACTGTCAGGAATACTGCGTTGAATCCCAATCCCTCGATTTCATGCAGATCCTTCTCTGACACCTTGTCGTCCTTATCTTTATAGAGCTGGAAGAACAGTGGTTGGGAAGGCGATATGCGGGCGGCAGCAAGCTCTTGACGCGACACCGACGCATAGTGGGAAATCATCTGAATGATGCCAGTACGTCCAGCGCCTCGCGTTATGTTGAGCTCGCCTTATGTTGTCGCTGACAGTGAGGTTCGTGAACACGCAATAACAGAGCAACCTACCAAGGGGGTGTCCTAACTTTCCCAGGGACGCTGCGCTCACGAATATTGGCAGAGAACTACTAAAGCCTAGTATGGTCGTAGAAGGATCGACTTTTGATACCGGCCTAAGGACACGCGGATGGAAGAAGAAACGAGAAAATGCACGGCGGTTTTCATTGTAGGCTGCGCACGAGTTATGAGGCTGGTAATGAAACTGGCGGACACACGTACTGATTTCGTCGTCTGAAGCGGACCTGTAGAAAGCCCAAGTTTTATATGATAGTACCTCGTGGGCGACGTCCTGATTGAATGCGGGGGTTGTAGACTCTGACCTGAATAGCTATCGTACATGCTTACCTCCATATCCTGAAGACTTAGTATTTGATTAATGGGTCGCTTTCGTGCGCGCGCTTGCTCCACACGAATCTCATCTTGCGTCTTCCGTCGAGCAGCCTGCTCCTCTTTCAGGACGTCGGTTCCTGCGCTATCGAGGGGACCCAGGTGTTTCTCTGGTGGTAAATGCTTGTCCAGAGCATCCTTGGGATGTATGGGTTCATACGCTGCCGTAGCGTCACGTCCAGCATACTTGAGAATGATCTTGTCGCCCCCTGGATGTGCCTGGCATACGTGAAGCGGACGTTCGTGATGTAGCTGAGCGCGTACTTACTGGCAGGAAGTCCGTCACGTCGTATACTTTATTGTTTATGACCACCCAGCAGGAGCTATGAGGCGCGCCTCAAGGAATCATCAGGATGTAGGACGAGGGGGACGGACCTGGACGCGTTATGCTGAGCTACTTCCTGCAACGACCAGACTCGTGCCATGACAGAAGTTAATACCAAGCTATCGTCTAACTTGCGCTGATGTTGCACTTTTAAAAGACCTATTCGGGGGTAAAGATGCGGAGGAAAGCGTGCGGCATCAGGGCCTCCGCGAGCTGCAGCAGGTGATCATACTCGTGTGCTGCATTGTCCGCCGTTTGATCCTCGTGCCGTATCTATGCCGCCGGGGGATGTGTTCGGAGTGTCTGCTAAAGCGACGGAGAGGGCGGTCCGGATAATGGGATGCGAAAGATCCTAGCATTTCGTCATTCAAGAGTGCATGCAAAAACATAGGGTCGACGTGTCTGGTGTATAAAAGGGAGATAAATCCAGACCCACACTAACGAATACAGAATAGCTTTCTCCGAGAATTACACTCATCCCAGGCCAGGACTCAATCGTCTCACGGAGACTTATCAGTGAGGCGACGTCCAAGAACCTCCAAGACATACACCGTTAGCGCCCGATCGTGCTCGCCAACAGTACGCAGTCACGTGATGTTTTGTTCGCGTTCGCGCGTTCAAGTTGCTGCCTGTGGCTTGCGAGGTCCAACTTCTCCTGCATCCCGGCTTTACCATCGCATCGCGAGACATATTCATATCTCTTCCACGACGGGAGTATTTCCTACTTCAATATGTCCGGCCCGCTCGACCGTCGAGCCCTAGAGGGCATGAAGCGAGTGGACCTCCAGAAACTTTGCAAGGTACGTGACACTTTTTCTCATACATTATATTCGGCTTACATTTACGCATTCAGGACCACGGGATAAAAGCTAACCTCAAGTCCGAAGCACTTGTTGACCTCTTACTAGATACACAACAACCCCGAAGACGTCCCGAACCGCAGCGAACGCGGATTCCATCATTGAGGGTCGTCAGTCGGTCAACGGCCGGATCACGCCCACGAGGGACATCTTCCTCCTCGGTCATTATCCATGACTCTGACGAGGAGGAAGGACATGATAGCGAAGATCAGGAAGATGCGCACCTCGTGCCTGAGCCTCAAACAGCATTCCCCCGACAAATTCTCCCGTCTGTTCCCCTCACGCGGAAAGCGAAACAAACACAGTACAGACTTGGCGTCGGACGACCAACTCTTGCTGGAGGCAGCGGCGCGCGGGCGGTGACCAGGTCGCTTAGTATACCGAAGGCCCGAGTCAAGGTGAGTAGAAGCGTGAAACCGAAGGAGGATGCAATACAAGAAGAGGATGAAGGTGAGACGAAGTGCCACTTCCGTTTCTCTCTCGACAAATCTCTGAACATGCTCACACAGGACCTCCTGGTATGCGCTCTTCTATAGAGCTGGTATGTAGACTAACGCATTTCCTTCTCAGCTTCTATCGCTGGTCCCTCGAACACTGCTCATGAACAGGTTGCCTTATCACAGGGCGCTGAGCCAGATGCGACTCGGGTATCATCGTCTCACCTGATGTCCGAGTTCAAGACTCAGACAGAAGAAATAGTATGGCTTTTCCTAGGCCGAAATAGTATCGCAAGTTGACGAGCTCTTGTAGATTCAGCCGCTCAAGGATCAAATTCAGGCACTTCAGGCTGAATTGCAACGTCTCACAGCAGACACAGCCCAAATTACAACACTGAGAAATCAAGTGGGGGAACTAAGTGCTGAAGTCGATTCCTTGCGCGCGAAAATGTCCCATATGACAGAACTTGACACCAACATCCAGAGACTTCGAGACAGCATACAGGCATCAGAAGCGGCACCCAAATCACAACCATCCACGAAAAGTATGGGGAAAGCTCGTGCAGTGTAGGTGATCAGTTTTGGGTTGTCCCCGCCTCGCTTATATTCTTCTGCTCGTAGTGATGCAGGCCCGACGGTGGTGGCTACGATACCATCTCAGCTAGCAAATGCATTGGATAACGTTGCTTCCACACCCGTTGATGCTTCTCAGCCACCTCATAAGGCCACAGCTGCGATGATGTTGGGAAAGCGCCATAGAGAGACTGATGACAGCCATATCACTGGGACTTTTGAGGATGGCCAGCAAGGAGAACTAAGCGAGAAAGAATTGGCGGAAAAGGTACCAAGGCCAACGAGAAAGCGAGCAAAATTGGGCCCCAAGGATACGGGGCGGTCGCACTCGTCCTCACGTCAAGCTACTCCTGTTCAAGAATTACCTGAGACCGAAGAGGTCGATGCAGAGCTCCTAGTGGTTCCGAGTGCTCCTGCGTTTACTATCTTCAGCGGCCCTGAAGAACCTCCAGATTCTTACGTTGACCCTCCTCCACCTACAACCCACCTTTCCGATCTGTTCGGCCTAACACCAGGCACAGCTGGTCCTACCACAAGTACTGCCAACGCGAACGAGAACGCGCAACAGGCTGCACCCTTCTCCTTTAACTTCACGGACATGGCATTTCATCCCGTCACATCAACGCCTGCTGGTCCCTTCGGACTTGGAATGCCCACATTCTCCTACCCGGAGCCCCCTACTTCACCAACGCCGGGAGCGAGCACGTTGCCCAGCGGAGGCTATGTCGAGCGCGCAGGTGGGCGCAGAGAACGGAATGATCTGTTTCACCCGCACGGCGCGCCCCGACGACCACCATCGGCAACTGGCAGTCGCCCGGCGCCGCAGGTATCGCGTTCGCAAGCTGGTCCGAGTTCAGCCACGGACGATGGACACTTCATCCCTGCGAAATTCACACAGCTTCTGGCCCCAGTGACAGAGTCCGATGCAGAACACAGTCAGGATGCGACAATATCTAGTAATGCCATCGGACAGGGATTGGGGATGTCCTCGATGCCACTGCCACCAGAGACGCCGGCGCCTCCCATGAAGCGGACAATGTACGGGACAGAGCTCGAAGGAGACACCCGGTTTGGGGACTTTGGTGTGGAAGGAATTGCTACGGGCTTTTGGACTGGGGTGGTGCCGCGCTTTTGAGCCTGTTGGCTCACCACCGATAAGCTAAACCATGCATTTATGTCAATGCATACCATTCCCATCTATGATCGTGAGCTGGTGTCTTTTTATTTCACGTCATTCTGCACTGAAATATAAAGGCGATGATAATGACTTGACTAACGTATTCTGCCTGCATTCTGTGTCGATAGCTGCATGTCCGGTGTACGATACCACGCTTTCAACGCTTTCGTCCGTGTTTCTCGTCATTCTACGTTCAATGGACCAAGCAGATTTTCCCTGTAGCTTCTCTATATGTAACACTCAAAACCGTTCGCCGACGGGCGGTCCGGCCCGTCTACACAGTGCGAAGATCTCGACTTCGGACATCTGTCATCGTCTTATTATTAATTTGAGCGTAGATGTATTGTACACTGCATTTTGATTTACCAATTCTAGTGTTTGACAATGGAGAATAAATACCCTTCGCAAAAGTAGTGTTTGATGGGCATAGGTTATGGCAAGATTGCGTATCCATACCCTCGTATATGATGCGCGAAGCCCTGACGACTAGAAAGATGTGTTACGAGGGGGAGGCTGGCCCGTTGCACCAGACCCAGGGTATGAAACAGCGCGGAGAAGTTCGCAACCTTGGCGACGCATCCACGCTTGGTAACATGTGTAGCGAATGCTCACGGCAGCGCATCAAATGCAAGGGACGAATGATTGAACTTCCGCATACAACAGCTCTGGCAACGTCGTAAATTTGTTAGCCAGTAGCGCAAACCGATGGTTTGTATGCACTCACCCTTCAGTTCCTCCTTGTTGAGGTCGAGATCTGGGATTCAAGCAAGGAATGAGAAGGTCTAGTACTGACGCAGCAGTCTGTCACGCACAATCAAACTCAAAGTACTCGGAGTCTAGCGAAGATACGGCGGGTTCGTCCTCCGGATCATGCTGTCATAATTAAGGCGATGGTCAGTTGATACCCATGATTGATACGAAGAACGTACGTAAGCCGTAAGGTATGGGTGCTCCAGTGCCTGGTCGACAGTCAATCGCTTCTTGGGATCGAAAGTCTAACGTATATCCCCGGGCAGCAGAACCAGTTGTGCGTGAGTTGAGGTAATTGGATGGGACGAAATAATAATAGACATACCAAAGTCTTTGCTAAGAAATCTAATGCCTCCGACGAAGCCTTAGGGAAGAGTGCGCTGAAAGCTCGCCGTTTCTTGATGGGCAGGGCTCGGATATAGTCGCGAGATCTGCGGGAAGTAATGCCGTAGAATTCTTCCAGTGTTGGCGTTCCTGTTAATGATGCAGGACATCAGGCAGCGACATAGCCTCCAGCGGCAGAGGGTTTACCAATGACATCCAGGATGAGATCAAGTTGATGTCCGTAGTCACGCCCGGGAAATAGAGGCCGCCCGCTGAGAAGTTCTGCTAGGATGCACCCCACGGCCCAGATGTCTATCGCCTGAAACAAATGGTGTCAGTGATCCAGTGACCCTGCACAACCCACAATATGTGCATGCCTTGGTATACATTTTGAAGGACAGCATGATCTCTGGGGCCCTGTACCATCTCGTGGCAACATACTCCGTCATGAGACCGACTTCTTTGCCACCGGGGTTTGTTGACCTAGTACTCCGTGCAAGCCCAAAATCGCACACTTTCAGATCGCAGTTGGCGTTCAAGAGGAGATTGGCGGGCTTGAGATCACGGTGGACAATATCCGCCGAATGCATAGTTTTGAGAGCGCGTAGCGTTTGGTACACAAAATACTGTCGCAGTTGAGGTCAGGGATACGGTAATTTTCCTAGAATGTAATGTGACATACCTGGCAATGATCGTCTGTCAATTGCTGTGTCCGGATCACTCGATGCAGATCGGTTTGCATAAGCTCTTGGATGACTACAAGCCATTCCCCTTAGTTCTGGCAATGCAGAACTCACAGTAAGAGCTCACAGTAGATCTCCTTGAACTCTTCCAGAGAGGGAGGCTTGATAATGTCCAAGATAGATATGATCTGGGAAATCGCCGCCGAGGCTTGTGAGGATGAACAGCAGTATGTAGTCGATCGTGCATACATTTTCATTGACACATGACTCAGAGAAGAACTTTAGTAATTTGAGTTCGCGCAAGGTGCGGAGACAGAAGAGGGTGTGCTCGAAGGGAAGGATCTTCTTGATGGCGACCTCCCGACCAGATGGCTTGTGCAGAGCGGCTGCGACAGTCCCGTATGCGCCTTCTCCAAGGCCATGAAGAATCACATAGTCTTCGCCTGTGTCATGAATCACAATGCAGTCAGCCAGTCGACTCGTCTGACGTCGAAGATGACCGCGATGCTGGATATCGGTTATGAAGACACTCACCCACTTCGAATTTGGGAAGCGGCTTGGGGGTTTTGCGAGACATGGTATTGGTCTGGAGTGAGGAGAGACTGTGGATCAAAGAAATGTGGCAGCAGCAAAGATTAGGGCGAAGCTGGAATACAGAAGATTAGACAAGATGGACGGTAGCTGGGTTTTGTAGGAGGTATATCCGGATCCGATTATTTAGAGGCCTGATCATCCCAAATGATGGCGATATGTCCGGCCGAAACAAGTCACCATCTCCTCGCTGTTTGAAACACTCCGCACCGCCCCTCCGCCTCTCCATCGCCCCCCTGGGTTTGATTGGGATACACCGCCTGCCTGGGCCCGGTACGGTCCTTGGCACTGACAATTCCGATGCTTTTCGGGCTCACGCCGCATGATTCGACGCATTGAGTTTTCGTAACGATGATGATGAAATCAGCGTTTGTATACCGCAACAAGCAAACAATCGTGCTAAGACGCGGTGACAATCGGTCCGTACAAGTAAAACCAATACGACGGGGCTGTCTCTATCGAGGTCCTGGGTGACGGTATTCTACGATGGGGGATGGGGGATGGAGTAGGTGCAAGTAATCTTTGGTGTTGTCATGCATTGTCGCGCACCGTCGTAATGGGGAATAGAGGATTGAGTTTCCATAAGGGTACTTACTGTACTCATGCTAGCAGCAACTGTCAAGCTCATGTGGCATTTTACATGTCAACGGCTAGTCACATGTCACAGAGCGGCTGCTGTCCACACCACCCGGGATTGCCAGTGGCGTAGCTAGCGGCGCTCGTATTGGCTGCGCGATTGTAAGTATACGGCCTCCTCAGTCAAGGAGATGCGATACAGATTGAAGCGGTCTATCACAGTGTTGTGCCGGTCGTCGACCGGTCGCTGACCGGTCGCTCGGTCTCATGGTTTGGTCATTCAACCAGAACTGACCATAACCGTTCCCACGAGGCGACCGTCAGCCAGAGGGTAGCTGACACTGTGCACGGCTGGCGGGGCAAGATGGTTAACAGGCAGTACAAGGCCAGTGCTTGCATATGTGTAGCATAACTTAATAGCTGGTGCTGTTGGATCCAAGTCAACCTTGCCTTCCGCATCAAAATTCAACATTTCGTATACCTCAAGCTCGTTCAAGAAGCCTGTCTCTGCTTCCCACTCAATTCGAATAGCCCAATCTGTGTGTGCGAAATCGAAAAGATCATGTAACGAGATGGAAGAAGTGACTGAGAATACTGCTGCATCTTCGTCAGCGTCGTTGATGGTCGCATCAACACTTCTTGGACTGCCATTTAGTAACTCATCCTTCGGAAATAGTCAATATGTTTTGATTCTATAAATGAGTAAGTACTTACACTCTGCGGCAATTGCCTCGAGAGTCCATGGAGCAACATGTTTTCATGGCCTGCCACCAGATCAAGTTCCTGTTCCACTGCAATATGTTGTGTCATGCATGCTTTACAGCACACCTTGGTTTGGTCAGAGCCTCCGAATATAGTCTCCTGTTTATTGGCACTCCCCACATTCGTAGCTTCATGGTCATGGAAAAAACTGCGCCACCAACCACAATCTGAATTGCTGGTCTCTCAGTGGCCCGAGGCAGACATGTGAGGGATAGTGAATGAGATAGTATTTGAGACTGCAGGCTTTAAAACGTACAGAAAAGACTATATACCCGTATAACAATCAGTAAACAAGGCAGCAGGCAGGCATCATCGACAGGGAATTGACTACATGCTGCACAATGGGCCTTTGAGGCAAGGCATTGCCTCGAGCAAGCTACGGAATGGCCGGACCGTTGCCACAGCCGTGCGAACGGTCAGGGCGACCGTCGACAAGACCCCGGAAAGCCCCCTATGAGCCTCAATCCCAGAGTTACTGGAATGGGGGGTCTCCAGAGCCCTTATGTGAGATCCCTGAGGGCCGAATTTGGGGTCATTTGCTGCTCATCTTCGATGTCAGGACTGCCGAAACGAGAGTCTCTGGCAGGATTTCCGGTCCCATGACCGCCGAATTGGGGGTCTCACCGGTTTGATTGTAACTCTCGACACGCTATGCCCAAACCTGATTGACAAACAGGCGAAGATACCTCTGCGGCATGGGTTGGAGATGCTAAGGCCAACCGATACCATGATGCAACGCTTACAGGACATCGAATGTTTACATGGTGAGCTGATCGCTTGTGCTCCGGCTGTGTATAGAGAGATGGGCACTCATCGCAACGCGTTCATGCATTAGCTATAGAGGGAAATAGTCGGGATGTCTAGCAAGGTTTACGAGCTAGCTTTAGCTTGAGGAACTGTGGTTAGATACTTTCTATTATACATTCAGTGCTTTTAGCATTCTATGCATCCGATGGCCAATTGTACCCTGGCGGTGGCTGGACTGGACTCAGAGCTTGAGATATCAGTTCCATCCCTCCACAACAGTACTGTTGAGCTCTTTTGATATCACCATGACTACTACAAAAAAATAAACAGACATGGACGCAAGCATGATCGATGAAAGCTGGCTATCCACACGAAGCAGCAGGAAATGCGCAGGTGCTGCGAACTGAAGGGCAAGGGCCTTGCGATGACCTATGAGTCACCACCCATGGATTCACGCGCCTTCTTTTCCTTCCTTAGCCGCTTTCTCTCTCTTCTAGCCTCGTCATCTTCAGCATCCTCTCCCTTTTCTGCCGCCTCTTTCGCCTTCTTCTCTTTCCTCAGTCGTTTCCGCTCCGCTCGTTCCGCCTCGTCGTCATTTTCCCCCTGGGCGTTCACCATCGAAACGTCAGCATCAGCACCTGCATCGAGCACTTCCGACTTCCTCTTCCTCTTTTTCTCCGTTTCTTTTGTCGAGCTGACTTCAGTGACCTGCTCAGCAGCCGGCAAGGGGGGAATCTCTACAGTCGATGGGCCCGCGGTCGGTTGCTGAATGTCGTTCAGATGACGCATTAAACAACGGACACAAAACCTCACCTCCCGGTTATAATCCACGTAGTCCCTACTCCATTCCGCTGGTGTAACACCGTCAATCTTCTCGCCGAATTTGCTGAGCTTGCCCTCCTTAACCATCTTCTTTTTCTCCAATGCCTTCGGGCCAAGACCCCAGCGACGCGGGTAGGTGTCACGCTCCATGATACACCGTTTGACTTTAGCAACCACACCGTGATCGCATGTGGCAAGTTCCACAGTTGACATTTGAGCGATAGCAAGCGCTATCGCTTCACCTGGAAAGAAATTGTCGACCTGTACAAAGCGTTATATCGAATCACCGACCTTTCGTAGTCATGAGGACTACCTCCTCGTTAAGCGAAATGTCAGCTTCATAACGGAGCAACCCAGGAATCATCAATTTCGCGCCATAGCAGACAGCATTGACCGCGCTATCTTTGACAACAATTCGCTTGTACCCGATCAGTAATGACTCGAGGGGTCGAATGACGCGGCGGAGGTACGACTCTGTAAACTGATTGGAACGCGCACCTAGCGGCTATTGAAAGACATACCATCGCGTGTATTATCGTATACCCACTGAGCATCTAGCACATCGTGCATAGTGACCATGCTGTCATTCTCGCTCAGCGCACCACTTCTGACTCTTCGCAGCTCTTGCATGTGTCCGCCGACGCCTAAAATCAAGCCCAAGTGTACACACAGTGTCCGAATATATGTTCCTGCTTCACATGATACCCAGAATACAGCAAGGTTACGCTTTTCGTCGAATTCGAGCAGATTTGACTCATAAATGGTGCGTATTCGCAACTGGCGTTTGACGGCAGAAATGAGTGGTGGGCGTTGGAACAATGCTCCGGTGAGTGTCTGAATGGCGCGAGGGAGGGATGTGGGGTTGGGAAGGGCAGAATGGAGACGGAGCACGGCAACATACTCCTTTCCTGCACCTTGTTGTGACTTGACGAGCCTGGTTGCACGGTCGATACAGACAATCAAGCATCCAGTCACCTTGGGATCGAGAGTGCCACTGTGACCAGTCTTTTCAACCCTCAAGATGCGTCTCAGCCATGCAACGACTTCATGGGAGGAGGGATTTGATGGCTTGTCGAGGTTTATAACACCTGATCTACAGGTGAACGCTCGGAGGATCGCCGCAAACTAGTGCGGTTCGCTACTCACTTTATGTATGTCACAATGTCGCGCTTCAAAGGACTGCATCCTGATGGTATGGGCGTAAAATGTGCTGACCGCACGAGCAGCTTGTCATAATTTTTCAACAGCAAGGGCCATTGGGATGTGTCCAGCTTGGGAGCGGAGCTCTCGGACTTGATTGCATAGTCGCCCTGAAGTTGAGCAGAGGCGACCTGCTCTCGAGTGAGATTGTTGGACATCGTCGTCGCGTCGAAGTTTTCAGTCACTCGCATCGCGCTCGATGCGCCGAAATCGGGCTGCGAATGTCATTTTCGAAACCCCCGTGGGACTTACTTGTACTCATAAGGGACATTATCGCCTTTGGCCGTGGCGTGGGAAGGGCTGTACAGTACCAGGCACGTGACACTTCACAGGAGGCCTCAGCGATCGGCCCTGGCAAGACATCGACCACCCTCCTCAAGCTCGCCGCCAGTTCAGCCTTCAAGATGGTCAGTTTCCGGTACCGCTTTGCTGAGTTATCTTCTCAGTAGGCTCACACTGGACATCCTTCTTTGTTTCACATTCTCCTAGCCCGCCGTCGGAAAAGCCGCTGCTTCTAAACACAAGTTCGTCGTTGACTACTCTCGCCCCGCGGGAGATGGTGTTTTCGATGGCGCAGCCTTTGAGAAGTACCTGCACGACCGCATAAAGATCGAGGGAAAGACGGGCCAGCTTGGCGAAAACATCAAAATTGCTCGCGATGGTGCGTAGCGCGTCCTGGAGTAAATGCCGGATGTAGAAGATACTCATTCTTTACGTTCAAGGTGACACCAAGCTCACTGTGTCGTCAAGTGTCCCTCTGTCAAAACGGTACCTGAAGTATCTCACGAAAAAGTTCCTCAAGAAGAACTCTCTGCGTGATTGGATTCGGTCAGCTTCGGTATCAAGTAGTAAATGGCTAGTCATTTCTGACGTTTATTATGCAGGGTTGTCGCATCTTCGAAAGATACCTACCAACTCCGCTTCTACAATATCCAGTATGTATCATTCACGTCACTTTTGTTTTGATGCTGACGTGATCCTAGGAGTAATGTCGATGAGGAAGACGAGGAGTAACCTGCTGTAATACTCATCATGTCGATTGTCGATTGCTATGTTGTAGGCATGTTTTCATGTAATTTATGCCGTGATGTCAATCCTTTGGAATTCTCTAAGATGTTTGATTATCATTTGATATAGTACTTATAGTGAAGCAACTAGATATTCGCATCCATTACACGCCTTTGCGTTAACGATGTGCTATCAGAGTTATGCTGTCCAGAGGTTCTGACCGCTCCTTTGGTTTGTTCTTCCCCAAGACCATCATAGCGAGGTCGTTCCATTGAAGTTGAGATCCTGCGAGTGGCTTTGCACGCATTTGCGTCGACAGTATGGATCCCAGTTGGTTCCTGAGGATCTTAAGAGCAATGCCGGTCCTGGGCGGAACGTAATATTTGATCTTACGGTCGATGTTTACGGTGTCGGAGAGGAGCTATGCAACGGGTCTGTGATTGTGCAAAAGCACCGTCAGGTGTGAACGCACCTTGAATTCTGGTTCTCCGCACAGTAAAATAAGCGCAACTTCGTCGACAGGCCCTGTTTCCCAAGCATACAGCCTTCTCGACTGCCTATGATTGCACATTGTACGTTATTCACAACCACATTGTGCTTACATTCGCACTTACATGAGCGTGAAGTAGCACAGATGACTGGCCCCGAAGTCCGTAGCTCTCTTTCCAAAGTTGATAGAGGAAGGATGGAAAAAAGCAGTTTGATTATTGGTAATAGTCTTCATGTCGCCATTCGTTGAATCAACGGAGAGGATTTTAGGATACAATCCGGCGCCGAGAGCAGCATTCAAGAGGAAGATATTGTCAGAGTTCACATCTAGCTCTGGTGGTACGGACACAAAGCGTGCTTTGCCGCGACTATAGCGCGCTCTAGGGTCGATGTTAACATCGAGTAAACATGACGCCCGCATTGCACATACCGACTCAGCTCCTTAACGAAGGTACGATTGACTTGGATGAAAGAGGAGTCAACTAAATATCTGCGGCACGGTGTTGGAAAGGATGCTATGCAATTATAGATATACGTACCCAAGGAATTGCTGGCGCAATTCTTCTATCTGTTGTAAGTTCTACAGGCGATATAGTTGATATAGGACCGAATTAATTTTTCATGGAAACTCACCTGATGGCTTAAGAAGCTGTCACGACAAAACTTGCGCGAAACTCCATTTGTGCATGCCCTACGCCAGCTCGAGAAGGCATTGTGAATAGTCAAAAAATCAGAATTTTCTGAGGTGAATGTTAGGATGTAGTGCAGCCAACTAGTTAACACGCACCGACTCGGAAGCTTGACTTGGCTCGATCAGCTTCCTGTTCACGACCCAAAGGGGAAACAAAAGGTGATTTAGAATTTAAAGTTGCGGCAATAGTCAAAGCCGTGTCCAAACAGCGAAAAAGAGTGGCGATGAGGAGGAACTTTCCGAGATGAACGTCAGTGGGTAGCTTGCTTAGAAGACGACCCATCGGCGTTATTTCCTCAGCTGTAGTCAACGCGCGAACCTGAATAAATTGTTCAGTAGATGTGGTTAAGAAAATAATAGAAAATATATGCCTCCACCAATGCTGACACCGCTCTTTGGATATTTACGGGGAGTGGCGGATCTAATGCTCGAGATAGCACGTCCTCAATGGACGACCCCAGCTTCACCTTCATGATTTTGATCCTAAGGGCGAGATCACTCAAGCTCAAGCGCATCATTTCCGGGTCGGGATGTGGTGCCATCTGTGAGGATTTGAATCCTATGATTCTCAACAAGTGACTGAATCGAACCTTTGTGTCGTGACGCGTTTTGGTAAATAAATGGAAGCAGAGGCCGGACTGAACACGTCCAGCTCTTCCGCGACGTTGAGCTGCGTTACTTTTCGCTACGTAAGTCTCTATCAGCCGACTTATCTGTCGCTTCTCATCAAATCTGTGGCACGAGGTCAGAATATATTAGGCGGAATAGATAAACGAAGCGCACCTCATCTCGCGATGTTTTCCTGTATCGATAACACATGTGATGTCCGGAATGGTAATACCGGTCTCCGCAATGTTCGTAGCTGTCTCGTCCTAGTAAGCACACGCCACTGTCTTTCGTTCTGTCACGAACCTATAACGATCTTACGGATCCCTGGAGGGGGTATGTCGAAGACGGCACCTTGATGTTCGCTTGATATAGTTGAATGCAGGGGGTATATTTTGAATTTATCGTCCGAAGCGAATGCGGGATGCTCCATGAGCATATCATTGAGTCTGCGGATTTCTGCCATGCCGGGCATGAATATTAAGATTGCTGAGGAATAGGGAACGTAGGTCTCGTCCTCCAAACAAACATGCTCTAACAAACGAATGATCAGATCGAAAGGCACGAGCCGCTCGTCCAAACGATTGATGGTCGCCGCTGTACTAGACGAGTAGCGTTTCTCCAGTTTGACATTTTCCTGCATGCTATCCTCGTCATCTTCACCTATGGTGACGTCTTCCGACCATTCTGGCCGCGCTTTTCCGCGGTGGGAATGACCTTGATCTGCGTCTGTGAATATCCGAATATTAACGGACGAACAACTCACCACGTCTCGCGTAAGGGGAGTTCTCAGCAACATTCCATCGCGTGAGCTCGATAGCATCTTCCAAAAACCGCACATCAACGGGGAAAGTCCGCCCAGGAACCTGAAGTACAGGAGCCCCTCCGAAGTAATGCGAGATTTTATCTGCGTCCACCGTGGCAGACATTAGGACTATCCTATAAGACCATGTGAGATGTGTGTGCTCGACACACTGTAAAGAGAATTCACTTAAGATCGGGGCGTTCATGCAGCAAGGACTTGAGGACAATAAGAAGAAAATCCGATTCAATAGTGCGTTCATGAACCTGTCAGCGCATCAATGACCGGGGTATTCTCGATTGATACGATACAAGCAGACCTCGTCAATGATAACATGCTGTGCAGAATGTCAGCAAGAATAGTGGGAATACGTCCACAAATGTGTGACACTGACCGTGATCTCATCAAACGCCGTGCCTTTACCCCCTTGGCCAGTTCCTCCCTCCAACATCCGCAATGCAATCCCATTAGTGACGTATGCCAGCTGAGTCCGACTCGTGATGTTACTCTCAAGCCTGATCGAGTATCCGACTATCGAACCAGCAGTTCCAACAACACCTGAGGGTTCACCGAGTTCCTTTGACACTCGTTGCGCAAGGGATATTGCAGATATCCGTCGAGGCTCGGTACAGTAGATTTTGCAGGGTTGACCCTTCGACAGGCGGTCCTCGAGGATAAATGCCGGAACTTGTGTTGATTTTCCGCTATGGTACTCATTTATTAGCACATAAGCAGCGAGAATGTTTTAGAGTGACTGCATTACCATCCAGTCTCGCCACTTAGGACCAAAATCTGGGAAGTATCTAGGATAGAAGTAATCTCATTGCGGTAACGAGCGATGGGGAGCTGGTCTCGCTGACGCTATTGCACTAGTGAGCCACGGAGAATGACCTCTCAAGAACTACACATACGAGCATCTCTTGATACGCAGTACTGCTTTGCCTTGCCTGAAAGCCAGCGATAACTTGTTCTGGAGTAAGATCATTCCCAGGACCTTGATTGCGAACATCTGAACGTGTTGTAGATGTGCCAGATTGCTTCGTGATCTTTTCTGCGGACTGCTTCCACGATTGAGATGGTCAAGAATGAATTATGTGGAAGCACCACTCGCCTTCTCATCAAAGTCGAGCTTATTTTGCAAAACCATCTTGAGCTTTGCCCAGATGCGACGATTAGTTGTATCGTCAGCGAGACGTCTCTGTGTCTCTAACTTATCCCATAAATCGCGATAAATGGCAGGCAATAATCTGAAGTGAGTTTGAGCACCAGCGGCCACAGACCCGCCAGAGGCAAAACCCTCTGTGCCAGGGAAAGTCAACGCATGCAAAGCAACAGTGGAAATATACTGTTCGGCCTGGGAGGTATCGTAGCATGCATCATTCTCCATAGACCATGAAGATATTTTACCACCGCCCCAACAAATGTTGACAGCTGCTCTCTTGACACGACTAGCGCCAGAGATTTCTTTATAGCTGATGGCTGCAAAACGATCCGTCTTATGGACCCGCTCCGATAACAGCATTTTTGGTGTACGACCGGAAAATTGCTTGGGAAGGGCCATGTCGTGGACATGAATTGTCATACCTTGCTCAGTCGTTTCTGTTGCGGGCATCTCCTCAAGCAGCTCAAATACTCCGCCGGAGGGTAGTTCATCATCCTCGTCAAAGATATCCGAAGGTAAATTAGGGACCACCGCAGCGAGAGACTGTGACTTCGATGAACTGGACTTTGGTTGTTTCGCAACCAGCGATGATGCGGGAGCGGGCGCAATAATGTCGCCTCGAAGTCGTGACCGGAGAGATGCAACATCAGCCTTTTCTCGTTCGATGCGAAATTGCGCTTCGGCTTCCCGTTCGTTGAACATATAATCTTCCTTGACAATCTCCAGCCGCCTTTGAAGGTCTCGTAGAATGGCTATATCTCGCGTTTCATCTGGCCGTCGATGTGTGGTCAAGTCTGATATTTGCATTTTCAGCCGTACGAAATCAGCGTTCGGATCGTCAAGAGGTGACTGTTGTCCTGAGGGTGATGGAGTGGAGTGAGAGTGCTCGCCCCCAGAAGCCGGGGACGAAAAAGCAGTAGGAGCCTGCCCGAATCGTGAAGCTGCGGGCACAAACGCTGGAGCATTGACATCAAGACGCCCAGGTTTTGCAGGCCCGAACGATGGTGAGACCGGAGTAGTTGGAGTGGCTCCTGCAGGGTGGACAAATTGACTGTGAGATGAAGTTCGTGGAGTTTGCGGGGTATCGAGCAGCTTTGGAGTCTTCGACCGCGGCTGCTCCCTTGCTACTGTTCGAGAGTGTCAGTAGATAGTACAAAAACACCGACATGTCACCCCACCATCTTGCATTGCTAATTCAATTGGGGTACAGTGCAATTGAAGCTAAACAAGAAGCATTGAGCGACCTTACATGTTCACAGAATAGAGAATACATGCCCAGTCGTATGCGTCATCCAAATCGACACCGTCGATTGCGGAAAGGCACTCTTCCACTCGGCCCTCAGAATAACCAAGGCGTCTGAGTACACCGTATGTGATCGCGAGACGCAACAGAACCTTCTCTTCGGGTTCATCTATCAAGTGCTTCCCAGCTAAAGTCTGATTTAATTTCCTTTTGATGCCGAATTATGGAAAGAGTTCACCTCCTTGACGCTCAACGTCCCTGGCGAGGGTGATAATACGATCGACGAAGGCTGAGTCGAGTTCCAATCGCATTAGAGTATCTCCAAAACGCCGTTCTTGATCTATGGTCTTCGTTACAAATACAAGTCAGTCGCCGACACCGACAGACGAGATGAATGTATGGATTTACTTTGAGCATTCTAACGATCTCCCTATCCGTCTTGTCCTGGAATTTGTCCACCAAGGTTTGCGATGCCTGTTCCTCGCGTCTGTCGGGGTCATCTGCGCTTTGTCCAGCCGGGACAAGCGGTTCCGAAGGAGGAGGATCAGCGTCTCGCAAGGCGGACAAGTCTTCGTTGTTAGAGATGACGGAATCTGCCTCTGCCGGCTGGACCTTCTTCGGGACCGAAGTTGTTGCAAAACCTCTGACAATCGCCTTAGGCTGTGTCTTCTTTTTCTTTGCCATCCTTAGACAGACGGGCGAAAATCCTAAGAGCCTAGTTTAAGGCTTTACGTTTGTGCGTGCTGCCTGAGTGGGCAATCACGGTGTCGGCACCGTAGTGCTACTGGTCAGATAGTCGAGGAGGTCTCGAGTTCGGGGTCGCTTTGCGATATCCAGCCACGTAACGGATGATTGGGGAAATGGTGAAGAAGCAGGTGTCATGGACAAGTTCGATGTATAAAGCAAGTAACTAAGGCTCGGCTGCTGTTTGTTGCCTCAGTCACAACACTGAAGGCGAAATCTGAGTGCTTTGAGCCCCTCGATCGACGACTACACACGGTGGCGGCTATCACCGGACCAGCCCATCCTCAATCTCGTAGGTGCAGCGTGGACTAGTAGAAAACAAGGAGATTATTACACTATCAAACAAACGCGAACACCTTCTACATAAAAGTGTACAGACAAAGTGGGTTAGCTACATACTGTCTATAGAACTGACGTCTCCATCAGCTACGAGTCTCCATCGCCTTTCGCGACGTTCGCCTTTCTCCGCCCCCGCGTACCAGGCTTCCGCCCTCTCGGTGCCCCAGTTCCCTCCCCTTTGCGTTTTCGACCGCGACCAGATGTATGTGGGGGGACTGGTGTCCCAAGATCATCGTCTCCGGCTTCTCCGCCGTTGCCGAGCCCAGATTGCATCGGGCCTGAGTGACCGAAGAATTCATCGCCCTCCTCATTCCATAAATCTCGGACAGCAGACCCATTCGCCTGCGCCGCATCCGCAGGCTTCTTGCTTTTGCTCTTAGATGAAGTGCTATTACCGCTGTCCAGGCTTGCCAACTGATCTTCATTGAGCAATAGCTGGACGATCTCGCTTGGCTTAGTCACGTCGGTGAAGTTTTTGTTGCCCACGACAATGTCTTGCACCTAAACCAAAGACTATTAGATAAATGGACAACGATGAGCTGCTATGAAACTCACATCTTTTTTGACTCTCGCAAGTTGGACAATGCGTTCATCAATAGTGCCTTTGGTAATTAATCGATATACCGTTACTTGACGAGTCTGCCCGAGACGATGTGCACGATCCATAGCCTGAGCATCGTTTGACGGGTTCCAATCGTGGTCATAAAACACAACTGTATCAGCTGCCGTCAAGTTGATACCAAGACCACCGGCACGTGTACTGAGGAGGAACACAAAGATATCCGGCCTGATGAACATTTCGGTCAGTGAAGGCGCTGTTGTTTAATTTCTGAACTCCTATACCTAGTTTGCCACTCCATGACCATGTCGCGCCGATCTTCCAGCTTGGATGAACCATCCAGTCGCAAGTATTTATACTGGCGGTAGATGAGATACTCCTCCATCAGGTCCATCATACGCGTCATTTGGAAATAGACCAGTACACGATGGTCGCCAGCCTTGAGTTCGTGAAGCAGAGAGTCTAGCCGAGCGAGCTTGGCAGAATCGTAAATCAGCCTCTTAGCTTCGGGAACCTGCATTGCTGACAATGGTAATTGATCTGGGGACGAGCTGCCGACAAGGCCAGATACATGCAAGCCAGGAAGCCGTCGCTCATACAACGAGCAAGCTACTTCAGACTCCCATAAATTAGGTGGTACGCCATATAGAGCCAAAGATTCCATCGGCGATTCGAGCAATTGTGCTTGACGATCGACAAACACACGATCCGCGCAAGACATCGAAATAGGCGGAGCTACCGTCGGAGGTATGAACCACTTCAAGTCTCTCCGAGATAGACAAGATAATTGCCATGCAGACGCCGAAATTGTCCCCAGGGTCGAAATACCTTCAGCATGTTCAAGATTCCTGAAGTTGACTCGCTGGGCTACCTGGTACGGGCAATGAGCGATATTTGCTATGAATGTTGGATCGCTGCCATCGCAGATTAGATCAGTTTATGAGCGTAGGCAGAGTCCTCACCATTGATAGATATCGTCGTCTCGGCATCTGTTTTCAATTTGCGAGACGGAGATCTGCCTCTGAATCAGATGAGACGTATGCAAGACATGAGCCTCGCTTGGGGACATGTCAATGAATCGCAAGAATCCGAACGCGGAATTCCCTATAGGCGGATTAGCTCAGCACATCCCATCTTTCATGATACACACCTTCGTCATAGAACGATCGATGAATCCATTCAGTGGACCAAACATTTTTCAACGTTGAGAGTCGCATTGTGTCAGACACAGCGTCCGTGTCATCCTGTGACACGCCTAGAAGTCTACCCTCGTGGTACAACAGCTTCGGGATAGCGAACTCGATAGGATTGCGAGACGAATAGGCAAGTTGGATTAGATCGCCTTCACGATTCAAAGGCCCCGATCGCCCAAACTCGGAGAATGAGAATGGTGCTACCACGTCTGCACGCTCGAACAGCTCGGGATGATTGCAGACCTACAAAATGTCAAAATCACACAGGGAAATAAGTAGGGGAGACTGACCTTGCGAAACTGCATCACCAAATTCATCAGTGACCGGGCAGAATCTGCATCGCCAATATTGGCGGCCTTCTCCAGAAGGTCAGCTACCGACACATTAGCAAGCAAAGCTTTGTAAAGGGCCCGTTGGCGTGCACTAAGATCCACATAAATATCGACCTCAATCTAGCGGCGACAATACAACTTCAATTAAGAAGCATGATAAGAGCATCACAACGAACCTTGTCACTGAGCTCATTCTGCACATGGCGTTTGACTCGGCGTAACATAAATGGTTTAAGGATCATATGCAGTCGCCGCAGCTGATGCTCATTTAGTCGACTTCCCTTATTCTCAGCAGCGTTTTCAATATCCTTTGAAAACCACTCATTGAATTCATCGTGCGAGTCGAATAAGCTGGGCATAATGAAGTGCAACAGCGCCCATAATTCTACCAAGAAGTTAGACACAAATATGCGTAAGATATATATAAATGTGCAGACCTTGCATTGAATTCTGAATCGGTGTTCCTGTAAGGAGCAGGCGATTGCGGCATTGAAAGCCCAATAACGTCTTCCATCGAGCGCTAGAAGAATTCTTGATGTTTTGTGCTTCGTCCAATATCATATATTGCCACTTGACACGTTGGAAGTACTGTTGATCTTGGGTAACCTAACAACCAAAAGTGAGTGACGATGCTTCTTCGAACTTGACATACTGACCAGTTGATAACTAGTAATAAGAACGTGGAAAGGGGCATCTTGATCGTAGCTGATCTCCTTCTTGTTCCAAAACTTCCGCAGTGTAGCACGATCTTTGACATTTCCCCAATATGGAAGAGCTTTCAGACGAGGCACGAATCTGGTAATCTCTTGCTGCCAGTTGTGAAGCGTCGAAGCTGGAGACACAACAAGGAATGGTCCCCAGATATCGTGATGCTCAGCCAGATAGGCTAACAGTGAGATCGATTGCACTGTCTAGAACTAAATGAGTGGGAGCATTGTTCCGCTTACCACATCAACTCACCTTTCCCAGACCCATCTCGTCTGCAAGAATGCCGTTGATACCCTGCTCGTATAAGGTGGCTAACCAATTCAAACCCTTCAGTTGATATTCCTTGAGCGTAGCCATCAACATGTTGGGCTGCTTAATGGTAAGCTCTCCAGTAAATGAGGTGGGGTTCTGGAAGTTCAGCTCGTCCGAATCCACTTTAAGGAGAGTTAGCCAAAGGAAGTACATCACACCAAGAATGCGCTTACAATCAACGAGAGGCGTAGCTGTCGACCCAGAACCCATACCTTCTACATCTTCATCTGCATGGATGTGAGCTTGTCGCTTGGCGAGTTTCAACGCTTCGTTCGTTTTCCGTTCCAGTGCAGTCTGAGTGTCAAAGTCCTGCGCTTTTCGCTTGGCAGCAACGATTGCGGCTTGGGCATTATGCCTCGCATGTCGATGTATGTTTGTTTGATCCTCTATAGCACAGTTGGAATTGAATGCACGAGAGTTACCGCGACCGCTTACCATCGTCGAAGTCAATGTCCCGTAATGCATTCCCATCAACGTCACCAAGTTCGGCACCCGCAGGAACATGTGCTTGCATGGAATCTCCTTCCAGCTCCGCAGCTGCGAAATTTAGACACAAGTCACATTGAGCGATGAAAAGGCTTACTCTTAAGTTTGTTACCAACGAAGTGGCTATACAGCTCAGTCTGGCTAATCAAAAACTCTAGCTTGCGTGCTTGTCGTGCAGCCTCTCGCTTCTCCTCTTCAACCTTGGCTCGATCAATTGCTTCTTTCTGCTCACGCTTCCGTACATCGCGCTCCTCCTTCTCATTCTTCTTCCAGAATACTAGCATCTCGCGCATCAGCCGCTTGCCCTTTGCTTGTACATCCTTAACCGCTTTGGCGCTCCTAACAACGGGTTTCCGAGCCTGCATAGAGCACAGTGTCGCAACGCGTTTGGTCTGCGTTTGTCTTGACAGGTAGCCTTGTGCATGATATTTGTATACCTGTTCATCACTTGATAAATAATGAATGATCTGCGAACCGAAATCATATGACGCACCTTAGCCACATCCCTCCGAGCAATATTAGTCCAGACTTTGCGCTGAGCATCCTCAAGTGTCCGCACGCGTTTGAGCATGGAAGCGTCGTCAACCTTCTTTGCCCGCTTTAGTGGAGGGATGGACTCGTCTAATTCATAGACCGTAGCAGAAACTGCTGTGAGAGCGGGCGATGCCGGTCGCGAACCAACAGGTGTTGAGTCTCCAGCGATGGAGCCCGCAGCGGAGCCAATACCTAAGTGCTCCTGCGTCTGGGGTGGCAAAGTGTCGAATTTCTTTCGAGTACCAAGTCTCTTGCGTGGCTTTGGAATAATCGAAACACTGTCCACACTCTCTTCTCGCTGAATCTGCTTGCCCCTACCCTTGCTTCTTGCGGACGCTAGCTTTGGTGCGGGAGACGGGATGAATTGCCCTCCAGGAATACGATCGATCAGAGAGGACTCCAACTCGTCCGCCGCATCTGCTGCGTCTGCTGCATCTTTCATAACTTTGCGCTTTTTGTGGGCGGGCATGGTCTTAGAGATGGGAATGTCCATCTCGCTTCCTGAATCGGAAATTGTATACGCTGCAGGCCGCTTGCCAGTGTCCTTCCCTTTGCCCTTGCCTTTGCCCTTGTGCCTCGTGGAGCCTCCAAGCACAGATTCTTCTAATTCACGTGCAGCGTCCTCGGCATTATTTCCATAATGCCGTCTGTGATTATCCATATGGCCAACGTCAGACCGCAGGGCATCATAGCTGTCCATAGGCTGCAGAGAAGGAGAAGCGGGGCGCAAAGCTGACATGTACCCGTCGTCAACGATAGGTTGGGGAGGAGGCGGAGGCGGCGGCGGAGGTATACGAGCTATGCGCTGCCTGTACGCATGTGACATATGATACGCCGTAATTGAATCACGTTCCTTACATTCCCGGTAAGAATTCTACTAGGATAAACGTCTGACATTGACTTACAATTATCCATCGAGAGAACCAAGCGTCCACCTGTTTCTGTCGTTTGTGGGACTCTATAACATAGTTACCAAGCTCCGCCAACCATACTTCTTCGCAGTCCTCGAGATCAGTAGAAGTAAGGCGAGACTCTTCCTCAGTTTGCTCCGGCGCCATCTCTTCCATGGATGGCTCAGGCTCATGGGCCTCAGAGGCGGGTGTGTGATTGCGGTGTTGCTGTCGCGTGCGAAGCGGATATCGTCGTGATTGCTATTAAGATATGGCCTCGGTGTCAAGGGATAGTAGGATAGTGATGTCACGTACACGTTTTTGGCCAGGGGGCTGATAATCGTCGTCGTCATCTGCAATTTTCCGCTTCTTCCTGCCGTGACCCTCGACAAATCCTTCTTTGAAACGGGAGGTTGCCGACCCATTATTCGATAATGTCGGCGACAATGGTGTTTGCTCTTCGCGATCCGGATAGTAGTTGCCTCCTGGACCCAAAGGAAAAATGTCACCCTGTACCCATTCACCAGTATAAGGATCCCAACCTCCTGCTCCGTGATATGTTGCAGGCTGATACGCTAATCCGCGCGGAACTGGCGGTGGCTCGTGATCATGGAGAGCTCTTGCATGTGCATAGTGAAGCTGTGGCGGAGGAGAGACGACTGGCATCAGAGGAGACTGTCTAGCTGGCACTGGTTCAGAAGGTGAGGGTACAGAAGGCGTAGGTGCGGGTATATGGGGAGGAACTGGGTCATCATTGAGAATGTGTTTGAGGGACATAACAGATGGAGGTGCGAAAGGACAGCGACTAGGATATATCAGAGGACAAAAGACAAGAGTCTTCACGCAAGCCTGATCCTCTCACACAGCCTGGCGCTTGCGGGACTGTTGAGTGACCGCGCTGTGGCGGTGGTCCCCTCTGAGAAGCGCAAAGTAGGCTGCCACCCCGCGAGAGGCGATGACTGAAGACAAAACAGTCAGAGTTCAGGGAGCAGTGGGGGAAGAGGCTGGAGGCGGTCGAGGGCGACGAGAGGAAGAAGAGCGGGGCAGTGATAAAGGGCCGGGGCCTGAGTGTGTACGGCTAAGCCGCAAACTGGCCAGCATGCCATGTCTCATTGGATTTTGGTGTTGCTACAAATATGACAACTGCCGCTTTTGGTCATCTCTATCCTCATCCGAGCTTCGTGTCACGCCGTGACTCCCCGCCGCGGCGGGCTCGGCAGCGTCACAACCCTCAGGCTCCTCGTCGCTCCCCGCGAAGGCCCCGACGAAAGCATGTAGTACGAACGTCTGCGCCATGTTCTCATCATTGTGCGATATCGTTCAGGAGCGTCTTCCTTGAGCCCGATGTACGGTGACAAAGTAATGCCTGCATGCCTGCGTCTTCGTCATAATATCTAGCTATAACACCAATAATCTCACTAGTGTACCAAGGTGACAACACACGTATCTACGGGTCATCGGGACCCAGCATCAACTCCGGCCGGACTTTCTCATCAAACTCCTCCGGCGTAAGCAAACCCAACGCCACTGTAGCTTGCTTCAATGTCGTGCCCTCCTTATGTGCCTTTTTCGCGCACTTAGCCACGTCTAGAAGATCCTTCCGATCAGCGGTGGAAGATGCGCACAAAAACAATAGGACGCACTGTCGTAGCCTAAATGACTGTTCAAGATCGTTGCCAACATCAAAGACTCGTTCAGCAACGTGTTGATCCGCTTCTCATTTGCCTGAATGCCAACGACACAATTCTTAGTGAACGAGCGCGAGCCTGCAATAGTTCAGCCTGAAATAGCACGGTTTTATGCGCGACAAACATACCATCTGCCAACAACCGGATGCTCTGTAAAACGTTCTTGATCATAACCGGCTTGAAGACATTCAGCTGCACAAGCAGAGGTCAGACAATAACAGTTCAAGACAATCACGCGAGGTTTACCTCAAATTGACCACTAGCACCTGCTACGCTAACCGCGGTCTGGTTGCCGATGACCTGCGCCGCGACCATGGTCAGCGCCTCGCACTGCGTAGGATTAACCTTTCCGGGCATAATACTGCTACCAGGCTCGTTCTCGGGCAGACTGAGCTCGCCGAAGCCGCAGCGAGGACCAGAGCCAAGGAACCGGATGTCATTGGCGATCTTCATGAACGAGCATGCCAGAACATTCAGCGCTCCATGCGCCTCAACAAGAGCGTCGTGCGACGCAAGCGCTTCGAACTACCTTCATCGTTAGGATGAAAACCATAAGACATAGTATGGTGTACCTTGTTCGGAGCTGTCTTGAACTCAAGCCCAGTGATCTTTGAGATCTCCGCCGCAACCTTGACGTCAAAGCCCTTCTTGGTGTTGAGCCCCTACACTGTGACTTTGAGTGCGGCTCACTTAGTAATTGCTATTTTACTCACGGTTCCCACTGCAGTACCTCCTTGCGCCAAAAAGCTTAGCCGTGGGAGAACAGCTTGAACTCGCTCAATTCCATTGGACACTTGCTCGACATATCCACTGAATTCTTGACCCAGCGTCAAAGGTGTGGCATCCTGACATTAAGATTAATGAGGGGGATCGTGTTTGGACGAGAACGGATCCAAACCTGCAAGTGCGTACGACCAATCTTGATAATATTAGCAAAGGCCTTTGCCTTTTCGTCAAGAGCATCTCTCAACTCGACCAAAGCAGGCAGCAAGGAGTGATTAATTTCGGTGACAGCTGCAATATGCATTGCTGTAGGGAAGCTAGAGTCACACAAAACAGTGAGAATACGGCACCGTTCAATGAGACGGCCACATACGTATCATTGCTGCTCTGGCTCATGTTAACATGATCGTTGGGATGAACAGGTTTCTTAGAACCCAGTTGTCCTCCGAGCATCTCAATCGCGCGGTTTGAGATGACCTCGTTGACATTCATATTGCTCTGGGTTCCACTGCCAGTTTGGAACACCACAAGTGGGAAATGATCAATGAGCGTTCCCGAGATGACCTGTACGCGACGTTGGTCATTAAGGTAGAAGTGCCAGACTCAGCCCGTCGACGCTGACCTCGTCTGCAGCTTGCTGGATCGCACCACCAATCTTAGGGTCCAAACCATAGCCGACATTCACGATCGCGGAGGCTTTCTTGAGGACGCCAAACGCCTTAATGAGGGGTGGTGGCAAGCGTTCTGTCGGACCACCAATATCAAAGTTCTGCAGTGAGCTGGTATAATGTGAGCAACACTGCTTGTATGTGGAATCGACAAACGCACCGCTGGGTCTGCGCTCCCCAGTATCTGTCTGCAGGAACCTGGAGTTCGCCGAAAGTGTCGCGTTCTACACGGTGTTTCTGATCGGCCTGCATACTTGGATGAGCGCTACCCGAGCCTTGATAAGAGTGCACTCGCCATGATAATCGAAGACGAGGAGAAAAGCCTAGGAGCGGGTGTCCTTCGGGCAGAGCTCAGCTGCAAACGCCGACGAGAAGGTGCACAATCACATGAGCAATCGACGTCACCCGCCAGAGGTGCTTCTCACTCACAAATTGTGTTCGTGCAATCTGGACGCGCATGCTAACCACGGCAACGTCGCAAGAGACCTTCTACAACGAGGAAATAAGGTGTGAGCGTTTGCTCGTGTTCGTTTGCCACGTCCGAGACATGATTTTGGAACGCTGCCGCGGATGACTCCGGCGAAGCTCCCGACTTACTCCGTTCCTCACTCATCTTTCCTGCACGCCCTGACACATCTCAGCAATAGCTGCATGTCGGGATGGTCATCCGCGGAAGAATGCAACGAGGCCAAACTCGAAAGGGCTCTGAGCAGAGCATATCATAACGCCGACAGCCCGACGACTCTGCATTGAACACGTCGGGTTACTACGCAGGTTCACGCGTCATAGACCATGAAGTCACGAGAGGACATAGAGCGGAATTCACGTGGAACGCGGCTCTCCAGGTTTGCTGCTCTCCCAGGCACTTCAATTCAGGGCAACGCTTACACCTGTGGTACTAGCACCAAAGGCCAACATGTCCAGCGTCGCGTCGCAAGTTATCCTCCACCCCATCGTTTCGCAATCTCTCAAGGTCCTTGGCACCAACCTTGGGCGAGACAAGGTCTGCAGCACTTCAATCACGCCGTCTCTGCCGCTCACCCGTGTACCCTGCAGCTCTACCGCGCCATACAATACTTTTCGCGCTTCCTGTCGTGGTATCTACTCGTCAAAGGGTATAAAATTGAAGCTGCACGATGGAATGCACTCAAGAATCATCTTGCATTGGGAAGAAAGCGTACGTGATACTGTCTTGAGTGCCGGCCTAAGCTGAGGGCCACGCCTGGGAAGTTATGCGACTTGGAAAGCCCGTTGAGCACTTGCAGGCCGCTTTGCGTGCCTCCCAGTCCACCGGTGAGATAGCAGAGCAAATCACGACCATCTGCCGTCAGGTTGGCTATTTTGGATATCTCACTTACGACGCTCTGGTTTGGGTATGTATGACTGAGCCCATTACCGTCATTCTGCTATTCCCTGTTCTTAAATGCTACCCATTTTAGGCTAACACTGTCAAGTTCTTCAACCTCAAGCCCTCTACTGCACAGAAGGTTGGGAAGAATGCCAATAGGTTTTGGCTAGCGGGGATTCTCTTCAGCATTGCGCATGGTCTGTTCAAAGTCAGTCTCACTTTCTTCGTCTGTCTTTTCTCACCCGAACATCATTTCGAAAGGCGGGGAGGATAGCAAACGAGGTTAGCAAGCTGCGCAGTGGACACCTCACTGACAAAGGCGAAAATGTCGACCGCGAGGTCAAACGAAACGCGCTTCGAGTGTGGGTCCATGTTCATTGAATATTGTGATCGAGTTAGTCATATTGACTCGCTTCTAGTGCCCGAGAGGCGACCCGACAGCAATTCACCATCGATATTCTAGACTTATGGATTCCGGCAAGTAATCTGGGCCTGACTAACTTGAACGACGGTGTACTTGGTATATTCGGGTTAGTGTCTTCCGTATCTGGACCGTCGACCGAAAAACTGAGCGAGCGTTATGTTTCTAGCCTCATAACCTCCCTCATTGCCTTTCGACAACAGTGGATTGCGGTGACCAGCAAGTAGGATGAGTTTTTGAGCCAGCTGTAGAAGTACTACTGCTGTCAATTTATTCCTATGAAGTAAACATATACATATATTGTATATTTATATTCATGAGATGCTTGGTTGGGACAACACAACTTAGCACGCCAAGCGTACGCTGACTTCGTGCAAAATATTGATTTAGAGCGCCGGCTTCATGTCTCCGGTTTCTCCCTCTAACCATCTTTGGCGGTAAGTGTTGGTGTTGGAGAGCACCGGCACCATTCTCTTGACTGTTGTCATGACGGGACATCGGTACCCTGCTGTCGCTCGTGTCGTAACCGAAAGTATTCCGCCCGCATCGCCGCCATGGGCTCTGGACCTGTACTGAACCCATCAGGGATACCATGATTAGGCTTTGCGTGGTTTTGAAATGAATGTAGCATCGAAGACATTCTACGCACTAGTGTAGCATGCATTCCTGTACAGCCTTATACTTGTCTCTGCACTGCCAGGCAACTGAGAATACTCGGCCAGTCGCACAGTCGGCAAATTCTTGGCATCCCAAATATTCTGAAAGTGAGAGATGGATTACGCTGCCAGAGAACACAAGCAGACCTTTCACGATGGGATCACACTCTTTGAGTGCTTTAGCCTTGGCCGTCTTCATCAAAGTCTCCTCTTCTCGGCGTGAGAGCGCATTCATAGTGTGTCGAGCTGCACGAAGCCTGCTACTGTCAAGATTTTCTGGTTCTGGGGACCAAGTACAGAGTGCTTCAAGACCGCCGTGACGAGTGTACGGACAGGTGATCGGCGAGCGCGACGACTTCCCGTTTTGGCATTCCGGGCGCTCCGCAACGGAATAGCAACTCGACCTTGGCTCGACCGAATATCGTTGACTCTGCGTCCGCTGGGGTTTCCGGTGTCTTTCATGTCTCGTCCAGCTTGCTCGTTACGCTCCTTCCTTCGTGCCTCGAGTGCGAGAAGTTTTCCTCGAAATGTTCGAACACTAGCAACCCCTTCGTCATCCAAAACGAGCTTTAGTCAGACTCTCGCTGAGGGGCCTGCATTAGACGACTTCATCGCTGGCAACGTCTCAGATAGAGTGGTTCTTGGGAACACAACTGGGTTAGCTCTGTCAGTTCGTCCTCTATATTGCTCTATTTACGCAGTATATTACATTGTTAGGCCTCGCCTTCCATCGTATCTCAAGACGTCTATTCCTAAGGGCGCATCCTTCTCTAAGATCAAGAGCGACTTGCGGGGACTGGGCCTACACACAGTATGCGAGGAGGCCCGCTGCCCAAATATTGGTGACTGCTGGGGCGGAAAGGAGGGTGCAACTCCGGAGGAGGGACGCAGGGCTGCTACGGCCACTATTATGGTCCGTTATTCCATCTACATTGCAGCTTTGGTATCCTATCAACGCATGACGTTTCTACATAGCTAATGGGGGATACATGTACGCGAGGATGTCGTTTCTGCTCAGTGAAGACTTCCCGAGCACCACCACCTCTGGACCCCCACGAACCAGAAAATACTGCAGAAGCCATTAGCCGGTGGGGACTGGGGTACATTGTGCTCACGAGCGTTGACCGAGATGGTTCGTGTCGGTGCATGTTGATGCCTCATCATTCTTACAAGTCAAGCAGATCTCTCCGACGGTGGCGCGCACCATTTCGCGGAGACAATTATGAAGATCAAGCAGAAGTGAGTGCGAACAGTGGTCTCCACTGGACTATATTAATATGATGTGCCAGAGCGCCCCAAATTCTTGTGGAGGCATTAACAGGAGATTTTGCGGGATCGCTTGCTCAGGTATCTGTCGTCGCGAAGTCCGGATTAGATGTTTATGCACACAATGTCGAGACCGTTGAGGCCTTGACGCCATTCGTTCGCGATCGTCGCGCCACATTTAGACAGAGTCTAAGTGTCCTTGAGCACGCAAAGAAGGAGGGTGTGAGAATCACGAAGACAAGCATCATGCTTGGAGTCGGGGAAAACGAGGAGCAGGTGATGGATGCTTTACGCGGTGCGTATTCGTCTTGTAGCAGCATTGCCGGTGTGCTGATTTCGGACTACGCTATTAGAGCTGCGGAACATCGACGTCGACGTCGTCACATTCGGGCAGTACATGCGTCCGACGAAGCGACACATGAAGGTCGACCGCTATGTGACGCCTACCGAATTTGACCGATGGAAACATGTTGCTGAAGATATGGGGTTCCTCTATGTCGCGAGTGGGCCGCTTGTGCGGAGCAGCTATAAGGCATGTATTCGTCACGAGTCGCAGGGCTCGACGCTAAACCATCAGATCTACAGGCTGGAGAGTATTTCATCGAGAACGTATTGCGAGGGAAGGCGACAGAACGGAGGACAACCCAGCTTGCTAATGGCGAGGCCCTCGACGACAAACTTTCGAGTATCTCATAGAGTAGATGGTAGTGCACATGAGGATATCCAAAAAGACTGCCGTTTACGGCCTTGAGGGCAGCCACCGGAATTTGCCGCATTGTATTGATGGCAACTCAAAGTGTGAACTTTATTTTTCCTTCCAGTCCACCGACCACAAAACACATCGCCAGTCCCATCCTCGGCCCACACTCGTCTTTCAAAAATGGTGAGCCGATGTTCAAACGCAGATACGCAGGTATATGCTAATGAGGTCTCAGGATTCATCAAAAGCCCCCGTCAAGCTCGCAACTGTCGTGAAGGTCTTCTGCCCATTCTATAGTGTTTGATTTGCGCAAGCTCTGAACTGGCTGTGGCATTATTCACTAGGTCCTTGGTCGTACTGGTTCGCGTGGTGGTGTCACACAAGTCCGTGTTGAGTTCATGGACGACCCAAGCCGGACGATTATCCGTAACGTGAAGGGGCCTGTCCGAGAGAAGGACATCTTGGCCCTCTTAGAGAGTGAGCGTGAAGCTCGGTGCGTTCATTTGTTGCATTGTAGCTTGGATCACTGAGCGATAGCGCATTTTTCTAGTCGTCTCCGCTGAAGCCGCACCCGTCGCTGTTCCCTTTCCATCTTTAGGCATTAGTTATATTTGTATGACCATGCGAATGTCATCCACATGAGGACTTGCCGCGCCCTATATCACGATTGTATTGTTGCTCTATTTGGTGCAGACTACCCAGGGAGAACTGCAGGCGTGATTCATTGCATGAATGGAGGTCGGCCGCATCGAGATGCCTTCATCTCCGAGACCCTGTGGCCAGAGAGATCCGAACGATACTGAACGTTTGCTAAGCTGGCTTCCCGGATGGACACAATGCCAGTGTTCGGCAGCCCTTGTCTGGCGTCCAACCTGGCGTGTGGTCCGCAGCGAGCGTTCGGCGATAGTGGCGTACAGGGTGCCTCGTTGCCCCGAACCAAATTGCAGCCTGCAGCGATGCCCCTGGCCGTTGTTTCCCTGCAGATGTCTTTCTGGTAGCCTGGGATCGCAGCAAGCGTGCTTTTGTGCCTGAACTCAGCGGAGAGTCGTTACCCGAGATGGCGCCCTTCACGCTCGTCATTCGATCCGGGCTATTTCATCGCTACTAATACACCTCGCGCCCGATCACGCTTGCCCGTCAGCGGGCAGCGCCATAAGTACTAGTAAGACGCTTTAATCTCTCCAATCCCTTCTCTTTCTCCCCAAAATGTCTCGCAAAGCAGCATATGCTACACTTCTCACTCGGGCTTCCTATTTGCCTGGTGCTCTAGTTCTCCATTACTGCCTGATATCCGTGGGCTCTAAATACCCCCTGGTCGTAATGGTCACTCCAAGCCTCCCCCAAGACGCTCGAGATGTTCTGAAGAAGAGGGGCATACTCATCGTCGACGTGGACCATCTTCAACCGGAGAAGGGGACCCACAAACTTGAGGAGCACGATTTGAGATTTGGAGATACTTGGACGAAACTTAGGTTCGTAGATGCCCTTTGCGGCCTCCTGAGAGCTAACACACCGCATAGAGCATTTGAACTGACTCAATACGATGTGCGTCTTAGTTGACGGGTTCACTGACGAGCTGACTCACCGCGAAATTAGCGTGTCGTCCTTCTGGATTGCGACATGATTGTCATGAAAAACATGGACGAGTTGATGGAGCTAGCCTTGCCTAGTGACTGGATTGCGGCTGCGCATGTTTGTGCGTGCAACCCGCGCAGGCTGCCACACTATCCTGCCGACTGGTGAGAGCCATTCCTACGCTAGAAATAAGTTCTTCCGACACAGTTCCACAGGATCCCTAAGAATTGCGCACATACCCCGATGGTGCATCCCACCGCTCTCAGCTCGCCTCCGATCATCTCCGAGTCAAGTCCTCGTCCATATGGTCTGCTTAACTCCGGTACGGTCGTCCTTACTCCGTCCATGCCCCTCTCCGGCAGCATCAAGCACTTTTTATCGACATCTCCGCTTGTCCCGACCTTTTCTTTTCCCGATCAGGATCTCCTCGCCGCTTTCTTCAAGGGAAGGTGGAGGCCCCTGCCTTGGTGTTATAACGCTCTCAAGTCGTTGCGTATCATTCACAAGCCGATGTGGCGTGACGAAGAGATCAGATGTTTACATTATATATTTAACGACAAACCTTGGAATCATCCACCCGGAACGGGCGGCGAGTCCGAGGAGGTCAACCGGTGGTGGTGGGATAGATACGAGAAGCTCGGCAAGGAGATGCGAAGAGCCGATAGTAAAGGATGGGAGCTGGTATCGTCCAACGTGACACTGCACTAACCGCAGAGAGAACTTTAGATTGGACGTAGAAGAGCTGCATGAAATTTGTGCCCGTTAGATAGATTCCGCCCTACCTACTGCCTGCAATAATTGGGCTGTGTATGATCCTTCGTAACCTGCGCATGTGATAGACTAATGTTAGAGCAGACCCAACAGAGAGCATCAACGGAGATAGGAAGCATGTGTGGGCGCTCGGTCGTTCTTGGTTGACATGGTTGTTTGGACCTCGTCGACAGCTCGAGCAAATTCCAAATTGGTATATCGATACATAGCTAGAGACATTGATACATCGAGGAACTAGACTCTCCATGCCACATGGACTTCATCTGTGCGGAATCTGCAGGTACTATCCATGATTAAGTCGCTTTGGTCGACGCATTGATGACGTACCTCTGAGTGCAAGTGCTTTTTGAAAGCGGTGTCTGAAGACCCATCCGATAACTAAGAAGACCAGCTTGAGCAATCATGATACCGTTATCAATGCAGAATCTGCAGCGCCCATTCAGGTCTAATTGAGATAACACGGGAGAACACATTGGTGACCAACCTCTCGTCAGTAGCGAAGACCTGACCGCCACGCTCCTGGGCCATGACTCCCATCATTTCTTGTAAGCGTTCGTTGCCTGCGGTAGAATGGTAATTACACCAATTTCGTCATAATCGACGCAATCGCACTCACAGCCAACACCGCCTACAATCAGAACCTCTTTGCTACCAATATGCGCCATGGCTCGCTCTGTGATTTCTACAAGCATTGCGAAGACGGTCTCCTGTAGCGATAAACACAAGTCTTGTGGTGTTATGATATTGTCATCTTGATTATTCAAAGGCCCATTGGCTCGATATCGTTTGTCCATCGTATAGGCTTCTGTCGAGGTAAGGATACCCGACAAACTAACATCCATGCCTTTTGTCGCGTAGGGTAGCGGCAGCAATCGCCTTCCCCTTTCCAATAATTTAGCCAAATTAATATTTCCGCGGCTGCATTGAGTCGCTTACTTCTTTGCTTCCTGCTCGATATTGTAGCCCGGGGCCGGATCATTGCTGAGGTTGATGACTCTTGCGAATCGATCTAGACAGTTTCCTACGGCGATGTCGAGTGTTTCGCCAAATATCCGATAGCATTGTTGTGAGTACGCAATAACCTGTGTGTTACCGCCCGACACATAGAGCACTACTGGGTTCTGCGCCCCAGTAATTTGACGGCCCATTTCTATATCTGAGGAGGTAATACGAGGAAGTTCGCTGACGTTCAAAGCTCGCCGGATAGCGCTTACGTCCAACACAGTGGTTCACACCGACTAAAGGCTTGTTGTAGAGGAGAGACAATGTCCGTGCAACGAGGGCAACAGACACCAATGGTGCACCCATTCCCGGACCTAAACGGCTACAGTGTCGTACAGAATGATGTTGCATCCTAAAGCGCACCTTTAGTGTAGCAGATACAGTCGATGTTGTGCAACGACACCTCGGCCTTCTTCACCGCATCATTGATCACCGATAGGGCCCACTCACGGTGATGTTGTGCCGTGTCTCTTGGAAGAAAGCCTTCTCCAGGAGGCGTAATATAAGTGTGCCTGACATTAGACAGTACTGTAGTCGATCCATCCGTTCCATGGCAAATGATGCCTGCTCCGAGCTTGTTAGCGGAGCCCTCCAAGCCGAGCGCAATGTAGGGTTTCTCTGAAGAATAAGTTCTAGACTTATTTCTGGAAGGATTGCAGGTCTCGTACCAGGTAACTTAAGAGGTGAACGTCTCTTGACCCCTGGCATCGTATTTCCAGTGGCGCTGCAGTCAGAAACAGCAGTGGTAGACGCTCGATCACTGCACTCGAGCACCGCGCACACGTGACCCATGTCGCGGACGTCTAGATCTGAGATCAGATATTGTAGAGTCATGTCGAGTCTGCCGTGCGCAAAAACTTCTCTGCTCTGCTCTCATTCACCACTTTCAAAGAGATGTCTCGCCAACCGCTCTGGCTACGCTGTGAAAAGAAGGAGTTTGAGCGCCGAGCCGCTCTGACCCCAACCACTGCTAAGAAGCTCATCGATGCGGGGTTTGACATCTACGTCGAGCGCGACGAGCAAAGGATCTTTGACGATTTAGAATACGAAGCGTGGGTACTTTCTCCAGCTACCTTGCAGATACCAACCCACATTTGCAGCGTTGGATGCAAGCTCGAAGAAAATAATTCATGGCCCAATGCCCCTGCACACATCCCAATAATCGGATTGAAGGAGCTCCCTGTATCTGAGGACCCTCTCCCCCACACTCACATTCAATTCGCCCATTGCTACAAGCGTCAAGCAGGCTGGTCGTCTGTCCTTGCCCGTTTCTATAAGGGAAAGGGCAATCTCTACGATCTCGAGTTTCTGACGGACGCAAGCGGTCGTCGAGTAGCTGCCTTCGGCTACCATGCCGGATTCGCAGGTGCCGCCGCAGGAGCATTGGCATGTGCGTCACAAAAGAATGGAGAGCCGCTTGGCTATCTAGAGCCCTACGAGAACGAGCATGCGATGGTTGAGGCCGTGAAGAAATCTCTCGGTGGGAGCGGTAAGGGCTTAAAGGCTCTTGTTATTGGCGCGTTGGGACGATGTGGCCGGGGAGCGGTCGATCTCTTTAGAAAGATCGGCCTAAACGAGTGTGTATCTTGCATTCAATCTTGTTCCACTATTGACCCACAGGTTTGCAGAGATGATATCCTGAAGTGGGATATGGCTGAGACAGAGAAAGGTGGTCCCTTCCAGGAAATCCTAGACGTTGACATCTTCGTGAACTGCATTTATCTGAGCTCGCCGATACCACACTTCCTCACGTACGAGCAACTACGCTCGGCGGGCGTAGGTCGCCGTTTGTCAGTGGTTGTCGATGTCAGCTGTGACACCACGAACCCGCACAATCCCATCCCAATCTATAGCATCAATACCACATTCTCCGAACCTACAGTAGCAGTTGACGTTGGGTCAGTCCACATTCACGCATGAGCTGGCTTATCGCTCACCGCACTCGTTCAATCTAGCCCTAACAACCCTCCGTTGTCGGTGATCTCAATTGACCATCTGCCAACGTTGCTACCCCGGGAGGCATCGGAGCAATTCAGTTCAGACCTGCTGCCCTCGCTCTTGCAGCTACCAAGTCGACAAACGGCCTCAGTCTGGGTCAATGCTGAGAAGCTTTTCCAGCAGAAGTTGGCGGAGGCAGTCCAGGCGGAGGGTTTGTGATGGAAAGGAGACGTGGTCGTAGGATCTAGAAGTTATAGGGTGCCATGTGTGTATTGAGTTCAAATAAGACGGCTTCGTTGCGACCGTCACGACGAAAACGCACGGATTGTATCATGGCGGGAGCGTGTTTAGAAGGAGTTGTTCCAGTGATGCAGACGTGGCAGTTGCCATGGCGGAGAAACAAGGCGGTGTGCGAACTGGGGTTATCGACCCAGCCACCTGCGCAGGCTGGAATTTCCCTTCATCTCGTCTGCGCTTTCCTTTGGTCTTCTCTCTTTCTCTCCCTACCTCCTCTCACTTGGGCCCGGCCGTCTCTCCGGTGCGAACGCTGCGCATATTGCACTGGTGCTGGTCGCCTCTCTTTCAAGAATCTTAATCAACCCATTGTCTTCTCTTCGTCCTTGTCGTTCATTGCTTCGTCCCTAGCCATGCCTCTCGCCATTTCCCCCGTTCCCGAGATTTCTATCTCCCTTGCTTCTCCTGAGGAGCCTTCGTATGAGCCGTTCTCCCCGTTCTCCCTTGACTTTAGTGCCAAGGCCCAGGTCATCGTTGACGATGATAGCAGCTGGCGTGCGACCCTCCTGTCGCCGCCTCCCATTCATTCGCCGCGACGCCTCTCCCCCCTTCGTCCGGTAGAGTCGCCTATCAAAGGCCAGGGTCTTGAGCGAGATCGTTTCGAAGCTCTGCTCAAGGCTTCCAGAGAGAGGAACACTGCTCTTGGCACTAAGAGATCGGTGGATCTCCGCAAAGAGATTGCTCTCAAGGCTCACAAGAGCAAGCAAGGTATGTTCCTAGCCCTGCTTCATGTATGACTAGTAGTGACAGTTGTCGCTATCTTTCGCTAGTTGAGCGTCGTGCTTTGTTCCTATCGAAGGTGCAAGCCCCACCCTCTCCCACCGCTACCTTGACTCCTAAGACACCTCCGGAGTCTCCGGCCATCTTCCACTACACTTTGCCTTCTCCCGGACTTGAATCACCCATTGAGGTATTCGAGTCCTTAGCACAGGGCAAGGGTAGTGCCCCGATGCGGAAACCTTGGGTTGAGCAGGTGGATTTCCGCATTCCCGGGCAGCATACCTATGTCCCGTCACTTAGGACCGCCCCCGTAGTCAGCAAGCGAAAGCCACTGCCCTCCCTTGATCAGATAACTGCTCGTCTGAGCTCTCATGTCTCGGGAGCCGGTCAAAACAATCGCGCGCAATCCCGTCCGCGTTTGCCAGCCTTCCTGCAACTGGGTGGACGCTCGTCAAGCGGCACAGCGGCAGCACAGCCCGTACAAGAGGTTACCAGCCCTGCTATACGCAGTGCCAGGCCCGCACCGCCGACACCCGTAGGCCGTCTTCAATTCCCCATCAGGTCCGTGTCACCCGCAGAATCTCCGAAGGTGGCCGCTTGCGAGCCTGAGCCTTGCCTGCCACCGTCTCCTACCCTCGCTTCGCCTCCCAAGCTGCAAATAACTACAACCGTTGTGCCTCGGACGTCTTCTGTCTCTCCGACCGAATTATCGGAGTCAAATTTGCTTGCCTTCAATTCAGGCCCCGGCTCGCGTGAGGTATCTGCGCGGCAGATGCTCACCAGGCTCAAACGTCGCACCTTACCTCCCGTCCCAGCCCACTCAGAGAGCGCCAGTCCCTCGGCGGAGAATGAAGAACAGGAGAGGAAGATGCGCAGACGCAGCGCTCCTCCTGAGCTTCCTGAACGGAAACGATCTGGGTTCTCGCACCCCATCCTCGAGTTGCCAGGAGCCTTCTGAACCAACCGTAACTGAATGTCCACTGGATCATGTGTTCTTGTTCTCCTTTTGTCGGTTCATATATAGCAATGGACACTTTGCGTGGATATTCACGTACTTCACATTTGGACATCGGGTTTTTCGCTTCTTTAGGCATTGTTCCGAACCCCAGTTTTCGGGACGTTATTGTCGGAGGCTACACAGGGGTGCAGGTGTATTTATCATCGGTGCGGTGCACGAAGGAGATGGGTGGATTTCATCTCGTTTAGGCGACTTTTTCGTAGATTTTGAAGAGTAGGCTGTGCCTCTCGCTGATTTTGTGGTGTTTCGGCCAGCCGTCCTTGTCCGCTGTATCATTATCGTTGATGCAATGTCAATACAGATAGGAGGGCTGTGCCCTATGATAGAAAATTATAGGATTTGAACTGTCGGATGTATTGGTGTCAATCCATGAAAATGCGAATCATCACAAGATATTGCGAACGGACCTGACCGTCCCGCAGCTTAAGGGAAAAAGTGATATTATAGATCATCAGGGTTAGCAAGAAGTAAATGTATTTTATTGCATTCCTATGGCATCAAATTGTTTCACTGTTCAAATTCCTATCCCAAGTCAAGAACACAGAGATTATCATGGACAAAGTACATGTGCGGAGACGGACTCGGAGAGGAAAGCATTGTATGGAACTCTGTGGTGTTATAGATAATGCGACGCATATCCTAGCGAAAAAAAAAAATAAAGCAGAAGTGATCGTGACTGTCACGATCAGGGCCAGAACAAAATCTCTCCAGATTTGTTCTAATAGATTACGACTTTGCCCAGATTGCACAAGCTATTTCCATGACTGTACCTGTTGCAGGCGGCCAGTGGTACTTGCTCCAGACCCGCTAGGGGGCTGATGTTGAGGGACATACTGGTATTGACCATCGCTCGCCGCATTGGGATCTGGCTCTGGTTCCGGGGTTGGATCTTTCCCTCTCAGGCGCGAGAGAACTCGCAGGCGGCGATCTGAGGATGTTAAATATAGCGAGATCATTATTTTAACGGGTGGGGGCGCGTGAAGCTAGACGCACTGTATTCGAGCCGGACATGCTCGTCCCCTTCCTGATCCGAATCGTCCAGCGGGTCTGCGGTGGTAGCAACATGCCATGCTTCTGAAAAATTCAACGACGCGATCAATATCGGTCTTCAAATCTGTGCGAACAATCGCTCACGTTCCAGCATGCTACGTTCATGCTCTTGACCGGCGCCAGTGGCGTCGCCTATAAAAGGTATGAAGGGTCGGCAAATTGGAATATCATTTGTAATTACGAATCCGACTCACCTTTGTAGACGGGCGGTCTTACACGGGGATGCGGCTCGGTCATTCCACGCGGAGGATCATGGGATAGCGAGGAACCGCGGCTGCCGCCAGGGGTTGAGGCGGGGTGTCGTTGAGACCACGTTGGACGCCTCATAGGGTCTTGCACTGTGAGCCGAAGAATCACAATATCAGCGCCCAGATCATATGCTGGAGACAGACCGCACTGACATGCGTACGTAGGCACGGTCGAAGTGGGTGGAGGTGGAAGTGGAGGGTTCTGCTGTCTTTTTTTGTCCATCTCCATCTCATCAACAAGTTCCTTGAGAAATTTGCTCCTCTGCCCGCTCATACGCCTTCCCCATTCGATTTCGTCTATGGGGTCCACGTTCTCCTGTTGCATTTCCTCGCGGCTGAGATTGCGCATACGGGGAACCTTGCCAAGATTCGCACGAGAATAATCGTCGTCGAACGGATTCGGCTTATCTGGACCTTGTAGATAATGGAACATAAGCCAAAGGAATGCCCTGGCACGAGAGGCAGATGACAGATTGACAGGAAGGAAGAGGTCGAGGAATTCAAGAGGAGCGTCAAAGTGGTCATGCGCTACTTGCTGCAATCCAGCGGTTAGCTCCGCCAGCCGAATAGATGCGTGGTCAACCAACCTGTGTATGGTTGGAGTTGGACAACACAAAGATTAGGTTCACGACGCTAGTGGGAGGAACTTGTCCGGATCGCTGCATTGATCGGGGTGATCAGCAACGTCACCAGACGCTCACAAGACCAGCTCGTCATACCGCTTTTTCTAGGATTTCATGAGGGGAACCAGGGGCGGGTGTCTTGAATTCAAAAGGAAGAAGGGCAGCCTTGAGACAATTCTTGATGCGGGGAGCATCTTGTAGATTTCCATCGGTCTTTTGCAAGGAAGGGACCGGGTGATAGCTCCGCAGCGCGGTTTTCATTTCCGGAAAGACTGATTGTGAGACAGTGGGTCAACTTTGGCGTGACACTGCGAGGAAAGGGGACACCGGAACGTACAGGCCATGGTGGTGTTTATGCGACCGACGTTGGTGAGAAGAGAAATTTTTGCAAACTCGATGGCAAAGGCGGGCGTCTCTACCATTTTGTCCTTGAGGACTTTGGAGCACTTGCTGGAGTTGTAGAGAGCATTGACGTAGAGGTCGCAGAAGTTGACGAGGGGCTTCCCCGGCGCTAGAAAGTCGACAAAAGCCACGGTGCGATCGGCAAAGATATAATAGAGAAGATCATATTGGAGGTCTTCTCGAGTGAGCGGCTCCGCGTCGCCACGCTTGATGGGGAGGGTCTTGCGGCCTAGATATTGGGGACTGGGGGTGAATGTGAATGTGAATGGAGACGGGGGAGGAGGGGAGGGGAGGGGAGGAGAGGGGTGCTCACGGGGTGGTGACCTGCTGGGGGTTCCAGTTCTGGACGGAGGGGAGGGCAGAGAGACGGTCTGTAGAGCTGGATGACGCCATGAAGAGGAGAAGAGCAGGATGCACGAGGCGGTACTGACCCTCTGAGCACGAGGCGACGGTGTGTTCGCCGTCCATGCTTTATATCGCAGGAGGGGACGAGATCTGGGAACTCGCAGAAATCTCACGTGTGTGGTGGGGGGAGGATTCTTTGTCCGATATTCATCAGCTTCACAGACGATCGATGGGTGGGCAGACGAGGAGAGAAAAGACGCAAAAAGAACAGGGACGGGACGGAGCGGCGAGGAGGAGGCTTGCGGGGACAGACGCGAGGGGCGACGAGGACGAGGGGAGAGACAAGGGCAGGGTGGACATGGCAACGGCGACAGGGAGCTATGGACCCATACCGAAAAATGGGCCGCGCGGGGAGGGCAGGGCGGCAGTGGCTGAGAGGGCAACAGACGCCGGGGGGGGATCTCACAGGCTGATCTCCGCAGCCACGCTGCCCGCTGACCTTCGCGGATGCAAATTCCCTCTCGCGCGCTCTATCTGCGCCTCTCCGCCCCGCTATTGTCCCCTCCTCCCCGCTCGCGTCGAGACCCCTCCGCGTTCCAGACATCCAAGCCCACTGCGCCTTCCTCCCGCCAGAATCCCACAACGCACCCGCTTACCCTGCTCCTTCCTGCCCATTCCAGCACGGTGACACTTTCAGCCCTTGCCCATCACGATGCTGACTGATCGTATGTGGTTTTAGGTTCATGTCTCCCGAGACTCTGTCCCCATCTTCCTCCTCCTCCTGCTCTTCCTCCTCCTCCTGCGCCTCATCCAGCCGACGGTCAGGATATCTCCATTTTTCTTCTCCATGCCTCACTGGTCAGATACCAGCCTCTTTCTCCCGCCTGGATTTTAAATTAGATGCGGTTCGGGACAACGCACCGCCGCGTTCGCGGTGATCCCCCCTCCTTCGGCAACGAGTTTCAAGTCCACAAGCCTCCACCCCGGTACAAGGGACGTACGTCAAACATAGATGCCGAGACGGTCACCATCCCAGGCTAGACTGCGATTGTCCAACCTTCTCTTGCTTATCGGATATTTCTCAGGATAGCTCTCTGCGCCTTCCGCCTTTAGCGTCGTTGGGCGGCAGCGTGGATATTAAATCATGAGTTCATGTCACAACGCAATTACAACTACGAGATGTACAGCTCCAGCGGGTCGTCAAGAATAGACACAATTGTGATAGAGTCGCTGTGTGGATCCGTCCGGTGCACCTTGCCGTCCGGAATATTCCTCCCTTAGCTACGTATTAACAGAACTCGGGCTGGACCATCAGAAATCCGCACAATACTATGAGCCAACCCAGCGCGTACAATCACTGCTATTTCAGGCTTGTTGTCCCGAGGTTGTCCCTTCACGTTGCCATTCCGCATCAACAGCTCATCTGTCCATGCCTTCCAATATTTTGCAAGTGCTGCAGAGAGGCATTTGCAAATCGTGCATTTCAGTGGCATCATCATCCATCGTGAATCGTTCTTAATACATCACATGACCGCGATCGGTTTACGTACACAACTCGTGTCAATTCATGTGCGCCGAACGAAAACTCCTCGCTGAGTTGCTCGCTGTGCCGCCTGCCAGCCGCTATTTTGCCAGCAAGTATATCCGTCCCAGGTTGCTCTTCGTACCCGTTCAATCGACTGCCATGGCTGATAACATGAAATTCGACGAGTCCACTCAGGTGTGTTCACGCAGCTTTCCGACGCACCGTTCGCCAGCTAAAGTTAGCTACGTGTATAGAAAGAGCTTGCCAAATTCGTGGAAACCGAGCAAGCACAAGCACGCTTGCACTCGACCATCCATATGATGACAGGCATGTGTTGGGACAAGTGCGTATTGTCCATACCTCATCTTGCTCCGCTCGCTGACCTTCCATACCCGTCCTAGATGTGTGACCGGAACCCCATCCACCCGTTTCTCCCGAAGTGAAGAGAGCTGTCTCGCGAACTGCGTTGACCGTTTCCTGGATACAAGTCTATTCATGGTCAAGAAGATTGAGGAACAGCGGTCGCAATTAGCATAAGTAGTACCTTATCCATCACTGGACGCAACATTTGCCCTCCGGCCGCACAACTCATTTTGCTTCCGACGATTGCCGCATGTGCCACTCCGACTTTTGTTGTACCTAATCACCACGGTAGCATCTACATTACAACAAGATCTTTATCCTAGATTGCACAAACAATAAGATCGGCAGTGTAAGATCAATACAACATTGCTGGGCAACGGCCTATGCAAAGAACAATGAGCCACCGTCGATCAAGCCCGGTCCATCAAATTCGATCAAATAAGTCTCCACCATGCCCAAAAGACCACTACTGGCATGAAGAGGCCCAACGCATCAAACAAGTCGCGCCTGCGCCTCAATATGAGTGGAACGTTGAGCTGCAACTCTTTCGTGCCCACAAAAGAGCCCGTGTCGAGATACTGGGACAGCAACCTGTCCTTCTCGCGCCACAGATTTCGCAGCCATAGATCGAATCTGTCTCGCTCAGCCTCAGGGATTTCTACTTCTAGTGTGTGTTCTCCGGGGGATGAAGTAGGGAGTGCATTGGGGTTGCTAGCCGATAGGTCGCCTATAGGCACCTCCCGTGCCACATCAAAGCACCGTATGTGCATATGAATGGTGGGAGGAGGTACGCCGTCGAGGAATATTGAGCGTAATGTGTAGTAGGATTGACCGTATCCAAACGGTGGGATGCCTACATGAATCATGAGCATGGTTCCCCACCCGTTCTTGATAGCTACTTACCTGGGTATGCCATCGTAATGTCAATTAGCCGTAGAGTGGGTACACGAGGTGAGAGGGAACGCAGGGAATAGTGGAGTCCTGTTGAGCGAGGAAGAAGTGTGTGCATCATGTCCGGCTTGCGGTAACACGTTGCTTTAGCGAATCGTATCATCCTACTTAGAAAAACAACGTACAATCCCCATCTTGTCCGCGAACTTCTTGCTTAAAGGTCTTGTATCTTTACTTACCAGAGTGCCTTCAGGATATAGGATGAACATCAGCGGGACATCCCGCTTCTCTGCCTGACGTCCCAGCCAAGACAGACTGTTGGACAGGTGGAGACGATCCGACGCCCATGACCGCTTGAGGAAGACGAATTTAAATAATTGCATGCCCTAATGAGACATGAGACAAGCGTCAGATATTGTAGAATATGCAGAGCTTACCCAACCGATGATTGGTATCCACTTCAAACTATCTTTGAGTACAATATACACATCTTTATGGGTCCCCATGAAGTACGCCAGCGACCAGTCATACCACCAGTCCGCGTACACCTGGGCGAACGCATGCGAAATCGGCCTCAGCAGTCTCAGTGTTCGCGACCGTAACGCACCTGATGGTTCGCTATGAGCACAGCCCTTTGGGGAAGATGTAGTCCCACAACCCGGCCTCCCTTGCCTCGTTCGACAAGCGCGTCAATTTCCTCGTCTGTAAGTCGGCCTTGTCCCTCCTTCTCGAACGTGATCATCAGCTTGGTCGGGGCAAACAATTGGCTCATCAAAACTGTCGCAGAATATATCGGTAAGGTCGAATGCGCTGTCACGCGACGGTACTCACCGATAAGTGCACCGAAAGCTCCCTTGCTGCATCGGATGCCCTCAAAGTACACGGCGTCGGCCCAGGCAAACGGGAAGAGCTTCAGCGGTAGCAAGAAGACGAATTGCGAGGCATTGATTACTACACATGCGAAGAGAAACACGACCAAGAAGAGAGCGCCCCAGACTGTCTGTAGCCAAGAATGTCGGGGCCGCTGGCGGATCTCGAGATTGTGGAGTCCAGGCTGGTGTTGTCGTCTGGTAGTCATGTCAGGTTAGTATTACAGTATGTACGCTCGTGAAGTCGGTGGACTCTACCAGCGGTAGATCCGACGTTGAGAGAGAGGCTTACCAGCGGGAACGAACGGTGGCAATGAAGCGGACGCGTTGCGCTGCGGCTCGGCTCTCCCGGGCCCGGGGCGGCTTCGGGGCAAAGCCCTGCAAAGCGGCCTCGCTCGACTGACCGCCGGGACAAACATAAACAACCTCCAGGCAATTGATCATCCATTTCGTATTTAGCTACACATCATGCGGTCTAGTCTCAGAAGTAGCGGTTTATCTACGCGAGCCACGTCTATCTACCATAGGCCGGATACCGAACTGCCCTAGCAAGCAAACGGCTTGCCGACAGCTCCGCTAGCGTATGCCTCCACAATCAACTTCAGATGAGTCGAGATCAAATCAATATACAGCCTTGAGCTTCGCCAGTTCACAAGCTCACCTTGATTGAAACATAGGTACCCGCGACACATATAAATGCGCCAGACAGGATGGTTAGAACAGCGAGTAGCGTACCCACCCATCTCCGTCGCAGTGCGGGCGCACCACCTTCGAGGTAGAAGGCATCGTACAGCCAAAAGAACCCCGCGATGCCGTATGTATACCATGAGGCGAAAACGGATGCAGAGATACCGACGAGATCAGAGAAAATCGGCACTGCGCCAGCGAAAATGAAGGCGAGACCCGTGCTCACGAAGCACAAAACAATCCAGGTCGACCACCCGAGCATAGTGTGAGAATAGAGGTGTCGCGAACGTCGGAAAATGCGGACGAAGACCAGCTTGGCGGCTGTGTGACAATACAGTCCCCCGGAGCTACGAGACAGTCTTGAGCAAGTGACCATATACATGTCAAGGGCAAATGATGATGCGCACATCAAGAAGTTGACCATACCAATGGCAAACGTAAGCTTGGACCAGACGGGAGACAACGATAATAAAGCCGGTGAATTGACTTCGCTGCCCAGGTAGACATAGATGACGACGCTGAATATCGCGTAAAATAATGTGGCGAAGACCTGCAGTGTCCAGGCAGCCTGGTAGAGTGTAGTCAGAAATGCGGTATGCATTGAAGCTCATAACAATACCTTCATTGCGTCCTGTGGCTGTTTCATCTCTGAGATTAAGATGAAAAACCTGCAAAAGAATTCAGAACAGCTGATGATGATGAGATGCCTTCACCTACATGAAATGTCCTGTAGTTCCATGTTAAGCTACACAAAACAGACTGCTCCTCACGAGCTCACCTGCATAGGCAAAAACCTATGGATATTTGGATATTTGATTGAATGTCATCAGCTAGACAAACATGGGTCACAGACGTACTGGGCCAGTAACGGCGAGAAAGGCATCATAGAAACTCGTTGGGACAGTTGCTGCAATGACGCGGTCGGGGACTTCGCTGACTTTGGCACCTACCATTGCAAGCAGTCCACACAGTGTAATGGACACGGTGCTGATGAAACCGAGCCAACTCAACCGATCCAGGGTGCGAGGCAAAGCAATAAAAAACGTTGCTGCAGAAAAAATGACCAGCAGTATCACCGCACAAAGACCATCATTAGATAGAGTGCTTAAAGCTAGCTGCCCCGACAGTAGCTCAGAGCCCTGATAGACGGTAAGTAATGGAAAGAATGGAAGATAAGACACGTACGGCACTGAAGATTGCAAAAATCACCGTTCCGATCGACAACACCTCTCGACCAATTGGACCAAACATGATGTAGCCGGCATCACCTGGTAGCGGAAGCGATGAGGCGGACGACTGAGTGCATCTTTATGGGCACTCACCCATAGTGTGCACGTAAGGATGATTGAGCTTGAAGTTAACTAATAGCTTGGCAGTGTAGAGCCCAAATATTCCGAGAAATATAGTCAAGACTAGGGACGGAACTATGCCTGTAGCAGCAATGAACATCAATTCAAGGTCACTGTGCCTCCGGTGCCCGCGCTCACCGACGGCTGCCATCGCATTCGGCAGAGACAACATCCCGTTGCTCACAATTTCAGCGATCATAAGGAAAGCTACGAACTACCAGGCACTAAGTCAATGATTTACTCAATCAAGAAACGGTGGAAACGAACACACCTGCCAGCTAAGAGTCTTGTACTGGATATCATGGTTATCCTCGGGACCAAAGACATCATCCGGTTGTTCGATCGCAGTATGCTTCGATTGAGTCTCTTCGAACGACTTGTCATAGTCCTTGACCTTCAAGTCGGACACCATCCCGAAGAACTGAAGAAGACGAGGAGAAATAACCGCGAAGATAAATGCCCAGCATGCTTATCGGGTATATAAAAGCTGGAGAAAGATTATCTCCACTAGGCCTCCACTGTGTGAATCACGGCCAAAGACATATCACGCACCAGCGCTGGTTCGTGATACGTGGTTTGAGGAGATAGCGACTTGTTTTCAATCGCCGCAAGGACCATCGTATGCAACAGTAGCGAAATGTGACCTTGCTTATGATCATTCTGCTTGCGATCAAAAGGTGAAGCTCCCGGAAGCAAAGGGGGAAAACAATTCCAGAATTAGCAATGGTCTATACAAGAATGACGCCACGCTCGGATTGGCCGCGGCTATCAAACTGCGATGTTCTGTGCGCTTAAAGAGCACACGCACTTAAATACTCTACTTACTATGATATTCAGTTAGCCACGGCCGTCCACGCTGCATCCGTCCTTCTGAGCCAACACGCCCTTTACTCCCGGTGCGTTCAAGCACTTGGCCTATATGCCTGTTGGATATCCTTGCCCTCGTCTTGTGGACGATCTAATTCCGTTCATCCTCGAAAGCGACAACCATTGGTGGAACCGAGATCTCAAGCGACTCGCGCTCATATCGCCAGCATGGCTTCTGTACGTCCGAAAGCGACTCTACGCACACCCTACCCTTCGGTCATACCGAGCTTGCATTCTACTCGCAAGATCTCTCACCGAGAACGTATGCCTGCTCCCGCTGTTACAAGGTATCGAACTTCGACCAGGAGCTGGCGGGACTGCAAGGGATGGGTTAACTGAGGAAGCCATGGCCGGTCTCAGATTCATGTTCACCTTGAGTGGTCTTCGCTCTCTGACGCTGGGAGGGGATTTGGCTGTTGGAGCTGAAAGGTTCCTCCACGCACTCAGCAACACGCAGTCCATCGTGCGCCTCTCCATTGACGGTGACCCCGTTGCCTGGAATCCCGAAAGTTCGCAGTGTACACTAGAACCGCCTTCCCTCGAATGGGACGAAGTATTTGCCGCAAAGTTCATGCGACTTCGCAGTCTCAGGCTGTCCAACCTCGAGCTATCCCTTTTTGAATCTGCGCCCTCTTGCCCTAGGCTCGCCGAGCTATCACTGCACAATGTACAAATTGTGCAGGGCGCATTGTCAGACCTCTGTCGTGATTCTGGTGATGCTCTGCGTACACTGAGCGTGACGAGCAGTCAGCCAGAATTAACCATAGGTGATGATGTAGGCGAGTTGCTCGATTCTTGCTCAAATATCGAGAACCTGCGTCTCGAAGTTTCAGAGGGGCCAGGTTCTGAGGTATTCCTTGGGGACGATTTTCCTGATTGTCCCGCCATCCGTCAACTGTGTCTATCAGGGCTTTCTGTCAACGCCCAAACGCTTGAATTCATCGGTCAGTCTTGCAAGAACATCGAGCTACTCGCTGTGTTGGGACGTCATGTTCGCATCACCCCCGATGATTGGATAACATTCCTCGCTTCTGCGGCTCTTCCTTCACTGCGAGAGCTCGCGACACCGTCCGGTACCGACCATCCCCCATTCACGTATTGGTCTAGGGCCATGCACGCACAGGTACAGCGGGCGTGTGGCTACCGGAAAGTCGCACTTTCATCCAGCGTTTGTCTGCTATGTGCGTGGTATTCGTCGTCATTAACCGCGTTTAATTGACATTGTTGACAGGAGCGTTCCCTCGCGCACTATTTGCGTCGTATATACATCTCTAGCTTCTGCTTTGGCCACGACCTTGTTTTCATTTGTATGCCGATTCATGATGTCGGCTGTCGCAGAACCACGGCAGTTCAGCACGTTCTGAGCCACTTCGGCGTCAGACATGTAAAGTTGATTTTGACTGATCCTTGCCCGTACTGATATAGTATCGTCGCAATGTAGTGGATCTGTAGGAGTAGCTCATTTTTTGCTTGGACATTTCCCGAATCTCGAATGTATGCATGTACTGATAGTTATACCCAGCAAATGTCATAACCCAGCTCATGACTCTACGAATGTTCGTGACAAAGCGAAGAGAATTTTGGGACAGAAATTTTCATGAGCTTCCCGGTCGCCTCGTGTGTCCTGTCTCCGATTCCAGAGGAACAAGAGACGCACGTGGAAAATAAGTAATTATCGGTTGAGCCGGGACTTCATCTCCATTTTTGGTGAAACCTCTTCGGTCCTCCGTTTCACGCTCCTCTTTGCCGCATCACAGCGCTCAGCGTCCCGTCGTCCTTGACGTGCACGGCGACGACGAAAACGACGAGCTCGACGTGTGCTGCTCACTTGCACCGTCTCGTCTGGCTCATTCCTTTGGTACCACATTCGCTTTGACAACTCTGACACATTCGCTTAATGGCTGCTGTTCTGTCTCGTTCCCCTGCCGACCTATCCTCCAGTCCGCCCTCGAGCTCTCGGGACCCTCCTCAGAGGCTGTCGAAAAAGTCGTCTTTCCTGTCGCTCCGACGAGATAGGAAATCTATCTCGTCCATTGATGCACCCATCATTGCACCGTCGCCCGCTCTTGGTCAGTCTTCCCGTCCTAATGACAGATCTTCCACGTCTCCGTCCGCATACCATGCTCTTCATGAATCGCCAGCACCATCGGCTCCTCGCAGGTCGAGTTCCAGAGTTCGTGCGCATGGCCGAAAGGCTTCCAAGAGTGTCAGCTCAACCCACGAACAACCGTCGTCTTCGAATTGTGCAAGCCGAGGCAAGGAACGACAACATCGCAACAGAGAGGGGCTACACGATACCGTCGAGCATGGTTCACAGCCATTTCCTACTATGGGCCACGAGAAGACGTTGTCCGGCAGCAGCCACACAACGACACGCTCTAGGCGCCGCTCGCACACAGGGCGATCCAAAACCCATGGCTCTTCGACGCCTCCCCATAACAGACCTTTCAATATTTCGCTCTTGGATTCGGCTTCGTCGGTATTGAGTCATTACGAAGATACCCCTCGGACTCCGGTAGACGAGCTTTCTTTTCGCGAGCCGGTTTTTTCTATGCCTGTTGTGGTCGCTGCGCCCGTGTCAGGAGTCGAGATGATGGACGCTTTGGTTGATGGCATGAATCATCGCTACGGCTCTGACGATCACTTCATGGGCATGGGCGGCATATCCGGCAGGATGAAGGTCTCAAAGTCTGGTTATCACCCTCTTTACCATCCTCCATTGCCCACTCCCCCTCCTGGTGTGGTGCTTGGGAAGGTCAGCCAGCGTCAGCAGCCTCCTCAATCGCGTGAGTCGGATGAAGATGATGACAAAACACAGGTCGTAGTGCCCCGGTGGTCGGAGCACAAGAGGCGCAACACTGGATCTTCTCGCAAGGCATCCACCAATTTCAATAGTCCTTCGCCATCACGTCCTCCTAGCAGTCATTCTGTGGACACACAAGTCGGGTCTTCAAGACATGTGGCGCCGTCCATTTCGGAGATCATACGCGCGCATGCACCTCCGTCTCAACAAGTACGTTCTCGAAAATCTTCGCTCGCACATAGTGCGGGTCATGGAACCCTACATGAGCACGTAGAGCCAGCACTTTCTCCGCCTGAGGAAGAAGGAGATTTGATTTCTCGATCCTCTGTGGACACGATTGCAGAGGAGGTTCAGCGAACGATCCGAAACCAAAACAGATCGTCTGTATCCCCGCGGCCACTTCATCTTTCGCGTTCTTTCCAGCGGACCCCTTCCGCGCTGTCTGAATCAACACGAACATTGTCCTCTCCTCGTTCCGAAGGCCGTCGCGAGTCATCGCTGTTCTCCTACTCTACGCAGTCAGATCACCCACATCTTCCTGCAGCTGACTTTGCGGGCCTCACAAAACTACCTACCAGTTCACCTTCTCAAACGATCGCTCAGTATCTCCGCTCCGCCCGATTGACAACTCTCCTTTCTCTTGTTCGCTCTCCACACGCTTCACGAGAACATCCACTGACTGTCAGCTTGTCTGACCTGGGCAGTCCCCATGGGTTTCCACTGGTTGTTTTCCTTGGGCTAGGTTGCGTGCGACACATTATGGGCTTATACGACGAAATGGCCGAATGCCTTGGTCTGAGGCTTATCACTATTGATCGGTAAGCTTGGTATATTCATCATTCGAAGGCGTCGACTCTGATGTTCTGCTGTCAGGTGGGGACTTGGGCGCACAGACATTCCGCGTTCAAAAGCAGCTAGAGGAATTCTAGAGTGGACTTCTGTCGTGGAGGAAGTACTCGACCAGCTTCACATCGACCAATGCAGTGTGATGGCCCATTCTGCAGGCGCACCCTATGCGCTTGCATTCGCCAACAGATTTCCAGAGCGCATACGAGGGGATGTTTGCTTGCTTGCTCCTTGGGTGGGAGGTGGTGAAGGAGGTGAGTCTCTATTATCCGATTTTGTGGGTTTATCCAAATAAATTTGTATGTTTAGCTGGCTACAAGTGGTTGAAATATGTTCCTAATGGCATTCTGAAGACCGCACAAGCTGCAGAATGGAAGGTGCAAGCGTGGATGATCGGTAAACCTCCTACGTTTGCTTTCGAAGGGATCGGTTACGATGCTACAACCTCATCTGCGTCATCTGTTACGCACGGTTCCAACGTGACATCGCCTCACGCGTCCTCGAAATCGCCGCCCACATCCACCCGAACGTCCACACATCTTCTAAGGGTGGACGAAGTTCAGCCTCGCCCAAGCATGTCCTCCGGTGTTTTCAGCGAATATGACGATCTACGTGACTTTGAAGGCCGGTTCGAGAGCATGAGCACATTGGAACGCAAAAGTTCCGGATCGGATCACGATCGCACCGTTACAATCACCAAGGTCGCTACACGCAAACCTTCACGAGGCTTCCTTGGGCGGCTGAAAAGTGGTCATACATGTCAGCCCCAGCTGCCACCTGAAGAGAAGTCTACGCTTCCCCGCACCGGGAAGAAGCTGAAGGTTCTGCGTTCGATGGGCTCCTTGAAGGGTCGTTCCAAACTTCCACCGGTAGAGGTACCTGCACGCCCCCCAGAAGTTCCACGTTTACCTGCGTCGATGGGCCCGGATATTGGTTTAGGTCTCGATCACCTCGACTTCACAGACACTGTAAGGATCAAGTCATCTTCGACGCCCCCCTTTTGTAGTGATTCAGGAGCAATGAAGGGCAAGGAGACGTCCCTGGAGACTGCAGACGAACAGCTGTTCTCCACTCGTGCGCACGGACGGCGATCCATATCGTTAGTGGCTCCTGAGCGACCGCGTCTATCAGATCCAACCCCACCCAATAGTCCACTACCTGACGATTCGTCACCGGCCAATTTCCAGGCAGCACTCGGCAATGCTCTTCTGGCTGCTTCTCATGCGGAATCATCTAAAGGGACCCATCGGGATTTACTCCAGATCTTGAACCATGATCGACAGCCATGGGGCTTCTCATATATAGCATACCCTCACACTGTACGTGTATGGTATGGGGACAGGGACGAACGGATTGCAGAGAATGCGGTACGATGGATGGAAAACACTATGGGACCCGATAAATGCCGTGTACAAGTTGTCCCAGGTGCTGATCATGCGCTCATGTATAGAAGTGGAGTAGTTGTAGACGTGCTCGAGAAGGTCTGCGAGTTTTGGCGCGAATGTGAGTCGAGAGCACATCTCGGATCTATTTAAAGTACTGATATGGCCCATCCAGATCAGTAGTATGACGCCTTTCATTCGTTCTGCACGATTCTGGCTCTTCGTGTCCTCCCCGCCATTTTCTTGTATACTTCTCGCTTGTTGCATTATATACCTTCGTCGCATATACCTCCCTTCACGTCCTACTATTTGTAGCCATCATCACCATTCATGTCTATTTCTGTTAATTTACAATTCTAGGTTGGATGTTTTCGGTGGGGTTTACCGTTTAGATGCCTTATTTCCTAATGGTGTACATGTAGGGCTCATCTCTAGTATCGTCGCTCACTCACAATTTTACATAAGGTACAGCCTACGGAGTAAATTAATTGTTCCTGTTCTTAGCTGCCATCGAGAAGGTTGAAACACACAATTCATTGGTGTATGTTTGGGGAAACCGACTAATAAAATGACAGCGCCTTCGACATATCCAGGCTACGGTTGTACGCAGAGCCTATGAAAGGCAGACAAGAGAGAACGCACCATTGGATTCAATTGATCAAGGGGGAAGAAGATTTCAACTGATTTTGTGAAGATCGGGGAGGTGCTAATGGCGCTGTTTGTCAAGTCGAGTCAAATGTCGCCATATTATGAACTAGAGTCTACGGTTCCCAGCACTGGCAGAAGGCTGTATGGGCGAGTCCAGACTTACACCCGCGTGAGCAATATTATGTTCGTACGGATTGCTAGGTCTTGGGGGCCCACTAGCTGGGCCAGCATACGGAAGATCAGACAAGCGCGTGCTTGCATTGAGGCGCGAGAAGTCTACGGGATCTTCAACGGGGCAGGGTGGGCTGATTTGTATTATGAAATCAGACTTGGGTTCTATGCCTTCAGCGTCGGTCCGCGAACGCTGTCTTCGTGCGCAAACCAGAACCGTCGAGACGATCGCGAGAACCGCAAGAAAGGCGATGGTAGAAGAGAGTGCTACAGCGAGGGCGACATGGGAGGAAATATCTGACGACGTAAACAGTGAGGACGAAGGCAGAGCCGATGTTGATGTAGTCGTGTGTACCGTGCCTGATGAGTACGAGGCTTGTAAAGGAGACGATGTAGAGCCGGACTGCGACGACGCGGATGTGGAGAATGTCCATGCAGCTGTAGAAGACCCTATTCGCGAAGTCGTCATTGTTTGCGACGGCACTGAAGCAGAAGCAGAAGTAGAGGAGGATGTGGAGAAGGCAGGCGTCGACATGGTTGAAGTAGGGGCTGGCGATAAATTCGGAGATCCTGGTGCTGCGAGCGACGGCGAGAAAAGGGGCGAATTCGAGATATTTTCAGCTGAAACTGTCGACACACTGGAAAATTTCTTCAACGTGGTCGCTGCGGAGGGCAATGATCGCGAAAACGCCGAAGTCCTAGCTGTAGTGCTGCCGAAACCTGTTGATATGGACCCCGTCCTAGTAACGAGACTGGGCAACGAAGTGTTTGGACTGCCAGAGAATGAAGTGCCGCGCGAATTGCCCGCAATTAAAGTTGACGTTCTAGGGGAGCGAGAAGCAAAAGAGGAAGAACCCGAGTCACTAGCTGAGATTGGTGAGGAGATTTCGGATGAAGTACTCGCAAATGTGGAAATTGCGCCTGCGCTATTGCTCCTCCGAATGCTCGAAATCCTAGGAAGGGAGGATGTCGGAGAAAGGGCCCAAGGTATGATAGGCGTGGCGGCAGACAAGTACGTGGAAAGCGTGGTGGAGGCAATTGGCCATGGTAATGGGTAAGGTGTACTATCACATCTTGAAGGACCGTATGGGACAGTAAAAATAGAGGAGTCTGAAGCACCAGGCTGCGATGAGCCGGCAGTGCTACCTAAGCTGTGAGCTTGACAGCTGAGTCCCGGAGCGACATCTGAGTACACCGAATTATCTATAAATTGATGATATCTCAGTGAAATCAGCGCGGTGAGGGACACACCAGAAGCTAGGGCCAACGAGGCCGTTGATAACTCATTGTCCCACTTCGAGATGACATCTGCGTCGTTTATAAGCAGGGATCCTGTCAGTTTAGAGATGGTATCATACCGTCTTCAAGAACGGTGACTATTGCTCCTGCAAACGTTATCTGGCCGGCATATCCAAAACGTGGGTCTCTGACATTCATTACGTCCAGGACGTGTGATCGTTCTGGATCAAGACCAGTAAAAGCCAAGAGAGTGACCTGAAATCGCTAGTCTGAGACCAACGGGCATTGCCTAAACTGAAGAACAGGGCATACTGGCGTATCGTTCTCGTGGGGATCAAATGCATCTACTCTCATAAATCGACCCCAAGGCTCCTCGCAATCGACACACGCAGCATACAGCGCTCCGTCGGGTTGTGTAAATCCAACATAATACACTGCGACCGTGCTCACTGCCAAAAACTCGTTTAAGGAAGCTTACAACATAAGCGCAATCACGCACCTGGTAGTACCAACTCGACCCAATCTCCATACCTGTCCGAGGAGACAACCTCACTAACATCTCCTTCTCGCAGTGCTGAGCTCCATCCAGCCGAGAAAAGGACAGAGGGGTTATCAGAGCCGATCGTCACGTTCTTCAAGACGCCTGCGCCTAGAGACGAAAGTGGAAGGAGCGTCACAAAGAAAAGATAACCCAGAAGCGATCCGGAGAGCATGGGAATATTCGTCATGGGCTACCGAATAGAGATGTCCAGCATCCTACTGGGAGAAGAACAGGGAGACAAGGTCAGGGCGTGGAGAGAACTGTTACACCTGTTCGAACTGTCGTCTGGGGACACACAACATGGCACTGCAACGAATCACGATGCCCTTGGCGTTCCACTTGCGACCATCATGAGATGTCAGCACTTGTCATCCAATCCTACCAGTGCTCGTCGTAGGCGACGCCATTGGGGCACCGCCCACATCTTGATCAGGGACAAGATCATTCAGCTTTCGAGCGCCAGTTGCATATTCGCGGATTCGAATGCACTGTGGGATGCATTCACGTAAGTGTACACAATCGTACATAGATGTCTCGCTTACGAGAATAGAGACATCGCGTGCAATGCCATGCAGCATGCGGATACCCTCTCGCGATCAAGTCATCCCACTATTCCGCCCGCTGTCATGAGTCACAACCCAAACGGGAAAGTGTATGAAGCGCTGTGGCCGAGGTCTGTTCAGGAATCTACCACGGCACCGTACACGCGCGACGACAAGATGCAACACTCACTCGAAGAGGTCAGGAGGTTTTCCACGAGCAGCGACGATGATACAATCGCCGCTCGTGCATGCATCGAACACGTCCTCAACTGATTTTTCCACAGGATAATGAATTCGCTGCAGGTGAGGAAGATCATCTTATCGGAGTGCAGCAGTAACTGTAGACGGTCAATAAAGAGGTCAGATATTCGACCAAGTATATACTAACCTGTACCACAGTTTGCTAGGAAGTCGATTTTGAAGACATTGTCAGATCCGAAGATTTCACGTTTGCGCTGGCCTCCACCTACGTCTACGAATCAGATGCAGCCCCGATTGCGGCGAGAGACAAATGCGAACCCCTCTCCTTCCTGATGTCAGTTGCTCAAGCATCGCTTAGATGGGAGCTGTGTCCCCAAATTACGATCATGGTCTTTCCGTCCTGACGAGGCTAGCTATCTTGGTGAGCATCCGCACAAAATGGTCGTCCTTGCGTATGCCACAATCACTGCATGAGCAGTTGTACTCATAAACCGGCATCAGAACATAAACGATAAGTTGCAACCCATCGCGTTTTCTGTAAGCATCGTGTGCTAGTATTCCTCAGCATCCTTCACAACCAGCGCATTTATCTCGACAACAGACTGTTCTTCGAAATGAAGACCATAATGGCCATCTGTTTGCTCTCTGATGTAGGTCCGATGATTGAGAAGCAGATTTGAGATCGGGGATGACTTCGTTGTGAGAACTGTTGGTAGGAGAATATACCGGGTCACTTACTGATTGATTAGGATAACAGCACGGCACTCACTCACCTTCGGGAGCCCAAACTGAGTCTCATACGCATGGCGAGTCGTTTTCCGGCCAAATTTCTCGAGGCAACTGTACCTAGTACGCAGTCAGTCGAGAATGAATAGTGCGGGAACAATTATTTCACCTTTCTTCGCGCCTGTTAGATCTACCTGCTCCAAAAACTGGATGATCTGGTCTGCTAATGATACAGAGTGTAGAGATCCATCCCATAGAAAGGGATATTGTCCAGAGGTCCTATGCCGCCTTCATGACTCAGTCGTGGTGGTCCCTGAGATACTGGATAAAGGACAGCATGACTTCATTCTTCCACATCCACTTGAGATACCTTAGCGCCCGCCAGGTAAGAACACTAGGGAGTGACTAGCAGCGAAAGACACACCTCTCAAATACACTCAATGCATCGCGGGCCGAATTAGCGATCCCCTTTCTGCTTTGGTCACTATGGATGAACCTGCTTGAATGGTAAGACGTGGAACGTGAGACCCAGAAAGCCGCTTCACTTATTGATGCGGAAGGCGTCCGGTCAGTAAGCTTCATTGGCTACGACAGTAAAGCCCTTCTCTTCGACCAAACGGTTGGTCAAGTTAACACGGTGGGCATAGAACTTGTATGCCTCGTGGGGCCCGTTGCCGATGAGGACAACCTGCGCGTTTTGTGTTGTAACTCGACACCATGACGCGGAAGATAGTGTTAAAAGCTGTGCAGATGAAAGAGAACGTGTAGAATGGGTTTGTGTAGGTCGACGGAAACCGGACACGCTAAACTTGAATAGAGCGAATGCTGTGGGCATTATGAATAATGCGGAGTGTGAGAAGTTCACACATTCCAACGCGTCCCTTTCAATGTGGAGGCTGCGCATGTACATCGTCGAGCGTGGTGAGAAGCATAGCAAGCAATGTGGGCGAGCGGGGGGCGGAAGACTCGAGAGGGGAGCGGGGTCACCGCCAGCGACATATAATTAAGTAACCTGGCGTATTCATTCGAATAGGCGCCGGCTACCTCCCAACGCAGTCTTTCCCCGAATTTATATCCTAAGAATACCATGTCTTATCGTATGCGACCGAGAGTGCATTGATCGAAAGACTTGTCCCGAGGACGAGTGTCTGAGATGACACGAGATCCGACATGTCCACGAAACATCCTGTCGGTCAGTCGGATGCAAGGGCAACCGAAAGAGAGGATACTGACCGCGGGTTAAGCCATGTGCGAATAGAAGATATTCGGAGGATACGAAAACAAAGGGGGATGCGGCTTTCTACGCAAGGCAAACAAGTTTGACGTTCCAGAACGTAGATGATGGCCTATTCGCCAGGAGCAAACGTGGAATGCTCAGTTGCGGGACTGGCCGTTCTCGCCTGCGCAGACGTCGATCTCCGATTGCAATGAAGAAAGCAAAAAAAACTTCTATGTGCTTTTGAGGCGTTAACAGGGGCGAAACTCGACTGAGAGACTTGTGCCGAACTTGTGAGCATGGTACGACAGGAGGCTCTGTCCCACTTCTCGGGTGTACCTATATCGTGCGCGTAAGAAAGAAACATGGACAATTGAAGCTGGGACATTCTCGTCAGCGGCTGTGGAACGCGTCTAGCCAGTGGGCTTCGACGGCATCGGCAATGGAGCCCTTCTCTTCGGGCGCGCGCCTACTCCTAACGGTTGGTACGCGGGGGCGACAAGCGCAAGCCTTGGCTCATGGGTTCCGCACGACGTCCGCGCTTGAAGGACAAGATTGGACGTGTCGCGGAACTTGAAGGTTTAGCGAGTGTGGGCCGATTGCCGATGGAGAGGAACGGAACGAGGGTGAGGGTGAGAGGAGAGACGGAGGAGGGGAGCACAGCGAGATGTGTGATGTCGGAAGACGGGTGGTGGGGGAGACGATGACGACGACGACGACGACGACGACGAGGGCGGGGGCG